CCCGATAGGCCAGTGGTTGGCGTCGCTTCTTTATTACCTGGCTGATAGTTCTCTGCATTAAAGTTCCTTCGTTCAAATAACAGCTGTGGTTTCTGTCTCTTGACAGGGTCCCCATGGCCCGGTGTGGACATTGGCTCACACCCTGTTTGAAATGTCACTTCTCCTTGTCACCTGCTTACGTCCTGTCAGAGTGAGCTCATGGCCTCCGTGCCTGTACGGTCTGCACCAGGGTTGGGTGTTCTGCCCTGGGTTTATCGAATGTATAATGTAATGTATAGCAGACTAATAGCAAATGGTCGTCACACCGTCATGCCATAACACTGATCAGCAGGGCCTGGAGGCTGCTTGGCACCGGTCTGGGCTAGGGGACCGGAGGTCACACCCAGCGGGGCTTGACAGGGGACCTGAGGCTGTGCCCCTCCTCCCGGTGGGGCTTGGCTAGGGAGGGGCCGAGCTGGCTGGGTTTGAGTCTCGTGTGGTTCCGAGGCGCCTGTGGGTGGGCAGGACTTGACTCTGGGTCCCACGGTGTACCCCTGACTCTGATAGGAGGGAGATTTTCATATACATTTTACTAATTTTTTTTTTCCATCTCTGACACTGCTATTATAGAGAAAGGGCAAATAGCAACAATAAAATATTTCCTCTAATACCCTTTAATATGGACGAATTTTGTGCACTGGGTCACTACCCTGTTTCCCCGAAAATAAGACAGTCTCTTATATTAATTTTTGCTCCCAAAGATGCACTAGGTCTTATTTTCAGGAGATGTCTTGTTTTTCCATGAAGAAGAATAGGGTACATATTTATTGTTAAATGAAAATAAAGGAAATTTATTACCTGTATACGGTACGGTAGTACGGTAGTTGTCAACACAAACCAGACAAACTGTGAATCCTACATTATTAAGAATTTTCTCATTTATTCAATGACAATCATGTCATCATCTTCTGGAACATCATCATAACAATCCAATTCCTGAATTTCCTGGTGAATTTCTTGTGACTCCGTTCCTTTCATAATCAGTGGACCAAATCTCTCATGTTTAGCCTAGGGGGGGGGCCTTATTTTCGGGGGATGCCTTATATTTCACTCAGAAGGAAACCTGTAAGTAGGTCTTATTTTCGGGGAAACACGGTGGTTAGTCTGTAATGTTCACACTGGTTCCGGCACAGTGGTTTAGAACCGTCTGCAAATATTCGTATTCTTAGGAAGAGGAACCTTTTAGTGGGTTTTCCCTGGGCTCTTTTAGGTGCCGTCCGCTGAAAAAGGAGCACCATTCCCACTGCTCAAGCCTTCGTTTCCTTTTCACGCTTTCATCTCAGGGTTGTGCCCAGAGCCTCCCCTGCTTATCGACACCCTGGTAAATCTGCGGTCACTCGGGTTGGCACAAGTGGGAAAACGCAGCAGCACCAAATGCTGGCAGCGAGCAGTTGCAGCACTGATGAGGGTACCGCAGTTGAGGGAAGGTCAGAGGTGAAGAGAGCAGGCCCTTAGGCTGCAGCCGTGGCACCAGGTGCTTGCACTCCTGGGCCTCAGTTGTCACTGTTAACGGTTCCTGCGTGGGTCGGAGGGACCTTTGGCCCACTTTATGGATGAAGACATTTTGTCACAGGATGGCACGGCCACCAGTGGCGTCCTAGGACTTGCTTCCCTGCCTGAGTGGGAGCTGGCTTTCCCCTGGGCCACAGCAGCACGGCCTCCTGTCCATGTGGAGGAATAGCAGAGGTGGGAAAACACGTCAGACCACTTAGTACACAGGGATGTTATAACTGGAAATTAAACACTCCGTCCTCACTGCTTTGGCTCTGTGGATAGAGCGTCGGCCTGTGGACTGAAGGGTTCCGAGTTCGATTCCAGTCAGTCACATGCCCAGGTTCTGGGCTTGGTTCCTAGTAGAGGGCGTGCAAGAGGCAACTGATCAATGATTCTCTCTCATCATTGATGTTTGTGTCTTTTTCTCCCCATCTCTTCTCTGATATCAATAAAAACCTATTTAAAAACCTAAAATAAAATAAACACCACACTTCTACATTCTCTAGCCAACAGGTAAATAATGGATTAACTATTTAAAAAGCCATTCAGGCCGAGACCGGTTTGGCTCAATGGATAGAGCGTCGGCTTGGGGACTGAAGGGACCCGGGTTCGATTCCGGTCAAGGGCATGTACCTGGGTTGCGGGCACATCCCCAGCAGGGGGTGTGCAAGGGGCAGCTGATCGATGATTCTCTCTCATCGATGTTTCTAACTCTATCCTTCTCCTTTTCTCTCTGTAAAAAATCAATAAAATGTATATATATAAAAAAAATGACAAAGGATAAAGGAGTTAATTCATTTTTATTAAAAATAATAAATTTTATACAATCAATACAGCATAATTAAGAGGTAACGCAGGAACAGAATGAAGGAATGATGTTTGCAGTTCTTGTTGGGAGAGCCAAAGTAAAGCACCGCACATACTACCTAAGCAGACGCAGACAGGGCCGGTGAGCAGGTCACCGACTGGGTGGCTACTGCCGGGGGCGCTGCCAGGGAGGGCGGTGGCCTTGGTGTGGGGACAGGACAGCTGACTCAGGAGATAGTGGGAACCGTAAAAGGTTAGTGCCCTTTGGAGAGTCCTGGTATTTCATTCTAAAAATTACCTAAGGTAGTATTGCTCCATGCCTGATCATGTTCATTGCAAATTTCTTCACCAAAACAAAATAATAATTTTGAGACTTAAATGTTCAACCAATGTGTTCAATAGATACATGATTTTAAAATTGTTGGTGTGCCAGCATATTGAAATACTAGAGGCCCTGGCCTCCCTCTTGCAGTCCGGCCCTTGGGGGATGTCTGACTGACAGCCTAAGCGCTGCTGCACTTGTCAGCCATGAACCCGGCTGCTGGCTGAGCCGTGCTCCCCCTGTGGGAGCCCACTGACCACCAGGGGGCAGCTCCTGCATTGAGCGTCTGCCCCCTGTTGGTCAGCGTGCGTCATAGTGACCGGTCATTCTGCCATTGGGTCCATTTGCATAGCCTTTTATTATATAGGATAGGATTATATGTCCATTAAAATGTAATTGAGTAGCATAGGAATCTGAAAACATAAAAAGTAAAATAAAAGCAGAATACAAATTATGCCAACATTGAGTATGTCAGCAGGATGGAGAGCGTACGATGCGGGGCGCGGGTGCAGTAGGGGTCTTTGGTGGTCCGTGTTGCTGCTTGGTTTGCTCTGGGCGCCGGTTTGTGGGGTGTCCGGCTGCAGTGTGGGCCCTGCCCAGGAGCAGCGTGGGGACAGCGCCAGCCGTCCTCCCTGGCGTGCTCCTCCCTCCAGACACGCTCTGGAGAAACGGAACGTGACTGGCTGACTGGGGGTGCTGGTCTTCATGGTGAAATGGAAGTTCCCCCAAAAGGTACCGAGCAGGGTGTGGTCTCAGTGGCTGCTGAAACATTTCCCCGTGCAGTGTTTGGGGTTCTTTCTGGTCAAGTTTGAAAGAAATAAAGATGAGGCACAGACCTGAGGTTCTAGCACATGTTTTTCTACCCTGGCCTTAAAAACAAGAACTTGGGGCCTGTGTTCCATTTCCTGTCTCTGCCTCTGGGCAGAGCCAGGCCGGTGATGGGCATGCAGCCCAGGCAGCAGCCAGGACGCCAGGGCTGCTTTTGGAGACCATGCGGATGTCGGTGTAAGACAGCAACACAGAGAGAGCCTGGCCCCAGGGCCCCCCAGGCCCCACGCCCATTCCCCCTGGGGGAGTGCTTGGAGCTGAGAAAGGACAGAGAAAACGAAAGTTGGCATAAAACAGGATGTAGGCCTGAGGGTGTGGGAGAGGTGGGTGCTAGACAATGGAAACCTGCTTAAGGAAGGGCGCCCGGGCACTGACAGGAGCTGCTCTGAAGGCTCTGAGCTGTTCTAGGGTCATTCACGGAGACGGGTTATCGGGAGGAATGTCCTAAGTTGTATGGAGGCCCATGTGGATGCCAGGTGACTGACCCCCAAGCTGCATTGGCAGAGGTTGAGGTGCCCTTCTGACTGAGGAGAGGAGGCCGGGGTCTGGGCTCCCCGAGGGAAGCAGGGAGTTCACGGGCAGAGAAGGAGCAAACGCCCCCACGTTCTGGCTGGGCCGCGGCGGAACAGAACGGAACGGCGTGCCAGCTTCCCCCGGCCCCGCAGCTCCTGTCAGTGCCCGGGCGCCCTTCCTTAAGCAGGTTTCCACCTGGGTTCCTGGAGGCCGGTCATGGGCGTGGGGGGAACCAGGGGTCTCTCTGAGTCTTTTGTTTCTTAAAAACCAGCTTAAGATCCGTTTCCCGAAAGGCACGTTGCAGGACGGCAGCCTGTGGCCCCTCAGCAGCCACCCCTGTTCCCGTGCCGGCACCTGAGCCGCTCCCGCCCGCCTCCCTCTGCGGCCTGTCCCTCCCGGCCCCACCCCCTGGTGGAGGGCCTGCGTCAGTGTTGGGCTTAGGGCTCTGCCAGTCTTGCTGTGTCCTCATCTCCCCTTGGGCACATCTGCAGGCCCTTCCCAACAAGCCATGCTCCCAGCTGCCGGGGGGAGGACTGGGCCGCTGTTGAGGGAGTGCATGCCCAGTGTGGCCACAGTAAGGGTCACAGTGCACTCGGTCTGGGCGGCTGTGCGAGCACAGGAGCGCAGCGTGGAGGGTCCTGTGGGAGGAGCCACGTGAGTCTCGGCCCCGGGCGTCCGTTTCCGGGGGCCCCTCCGCTGCTCCCTGGAGCACATCGGCCGCAGCTGCTGCAGCGCGGGCAGCACCGGGCAGCTCCTGGGGAGCAGCGGGCCGCTGGGTCTTCCTCCCATGACCGCGGGGCCTCTGCGGTGAGGTCTTGTCGGAACCGGCGTTGCTGTAGGTGCTATCGACAAACATCCACATTATTTAGCACAAAACTGCATGTTTTAAAAGTAAGCGTTTTCCACACGAAGTGTAACTTGCCAGAGTAACCGGTTGGTCGGATGTTAGGTGGCATCCATTCGGAAGACACGTGTTAACTCCGCTTTCTCCTTTCAGCCAAGCCCTTCACCCAGCTGGTGAGGGAGATGCAGCTGCGGCGGGAGGACTTCGAGATCATCAAGGTCATCGGCCGGGGCGCCTTCGGCGAGGTGAGTGCGGCAGGGCGTCCCGGCCTCCTTCGGTTGTGGGGAGGCGGTTAGTGGACACCTGGGGAGAGGGCCTGGACAGAACCTGGAAGGTGGGGTTCAGAGTAAAACGAAAGCGGAAGCTGGTGACTGGGGAATTACCCTGAGCAGCATCTGGCCAAAACAGTTTCTTATAGACCAATAAGGTTTGAAAAATCCGCTCGTTAATTCTCTTTGGAGTCCATAGAGAGTGAAATATGGTCGCTCTCGTTGCTGTGGCTGCTGCCGCCGGTCCCGCCTGGCACCAGGAGGGGCAGCTTGCCCAGCGCAGCCGCCTCGCTGCAGTGGGCGCCGTCCTCCCTGCCCTGGCAGGCGGGGCTGCTGCAGGGGGCGCTCTCCTCCAGCCTCGCTGTCAGGGCAGTCAGGGCAGGTGCCCAGGTCGGAGGGCAGGTGGCTTTCCAGTGGCCACCTCCCTCCCGCGGAGCGCCTGTGTCCTGTGCTCGGCTTCAGCTGCGCGACTGGCCGCCCGGAGCCTGGGCATCGCCGCCGGCCGCCTGTGTGCAGGGCCCTGGGCAGAGCAGGGTGAGTTGGCGTGGGCCGCGCGGGCGCTTTGTGCTGTGTGTTCAGAAGGGAAGCGACAGCAGTTTGGCCAGCGCAGGTCTCTCCTGTGGAGCCTCTGACTTTTGAGGAAGAGCCAGGCCTGGCAACGCCTTAGGGAACATCCCACTGCTGCCCGTTCTGCCACAGACATGCGGGCCACTGCCGCTCACCAGGCTCCTGCGAGAAGGCCCGCTGGCCACAGCGTGTGCTGGCCCTCTGTGTTCGAGGAAGCTGCCCTGGCCTCTGGCCAGCCCCTTCCTCTCCCTCATCCCCCTAGCCCTGCCTTCTGCTCCTCTCCTCCATCCCTCTCCCTGAGAGCTAGCTCCCCCGGCCGCGGGTGGTGGGGGGCAGCACCACGGGGCCGCCTGGGGGCAGCATTGTCCTCTGGGATGGCCGCTCCTCCCAGGCTGATGCGATCTCCAGGGTCCCCCAGAACCAGGGGCCCAGGGTCCTCAGCCAGAGTCCATCGCTGTGGCTGGGATGGGACAGTGAGGCTCCTCGGTTTGGCTACATTGACAGTGAAGTGTAATGACATGTAAAATGCCCGGCTCAGCGGACGTTTGGAGCATGGCAGAAGCGTACGCCTGTGCAGCCAGCACCCCGGTTGGTAGAAGCATTTCTCTCTCCAGAAGGTTCCCTCCTATTGCTTTCCGGACGCCCCTCCTGTGAGCCCCCGGGCCCCTGGGCAGCGGCTCTCCTGGTGCCACCAGCGGTGAGCTTGGCTTAAAGGAGCCACAGGAGACTGAGCTCTGCGCAGAATTAGCAGGTCTCTGCGCTGAGGGTGGTAGTGGACGGCGTGGTCATTTGTTCGGTGAGAAGAAAGAGAGAGCCTGTGAAATCCGGCCGGACTCAGTCCCGTCTGTGCTTACACCGCTGTCGTCTTTGTCCAGGAGCCTGCCAGGCCCGGCCCTGCAGCTCTGCAGCGTGTCCACGCCGGAAGGTCCCCGAGGGGCGGGGAGAGACAGCGCCAGAGAGTGGCCCTGCAGGAGGGAAAGGAAAGAAGGAGAGAACACTGCTGTGCCCACATTGTTTACAGTGACTCTTACTGATTTTAAAATTATTTCAGAGAGAGGAAGGGAGAGGGAGAGAGAGAAATATCAGTGATGAGAGAGAATCATGGATCGGCTGCCTCCTGCACATCCCCTACTGGGGATCGAGCCTGCAACCCGGGCATGCGCCTTGACTGGGACCTCCTGATTCATGGGTTGATGCTCAACCACTGAGCCACACCAGCTGAGCTGTAGTTCTTTTTAGTGCTCTTTTTTGCCAAAGAACTTGATACAAAACTGTTTTGCGTTTCAAAGAAGGTAGCAATGGCCACTTTCCACATTCCTTCACGGTAGAGAAGCACGTTCTTGCCCAGGCCTTTGCAGAAGTCTTCAGGGTCTCTCCTTTTTTTTGCTCCCTCTGAGCTTTCCCCCTCTCTGTACACACCCCTGCACCCCCACTTCAACCCCCAGGCAAGCCTCCCTGGCCCCGTGGCCTGGGCTCCACACCGGCACTCCTCACCTACTCCTCACCAGCCGGCCTCCTGTGTCCAGCCGGGGGACTCTGTGCATGCTCCCATACTCTGGCCAAAGCTGCACTCTTGGTTCTGTCGTCTTACTGACCCCGTGGCTGTTCCGGAGCGGGCCCAGTGTCAGTCTCTGACGGCGCCGGGGGTCACCAGGACGCCGCTCCTCGTCAGTGTTGGGGTCAGGAGGCTCTTGGCATGAGCTGCTCACTGGACTCTTCTCTCCTCGTGACGAGATGGGGTGGCGCCGGGCGTTCCCGTGGGCTTCCATCATCAGGCCGGACAGTGATTGTGACGTCACTTTAACAGCCTTCAGAGCAGGCCCCGGGTGAGGTGGAGGGCTGGGGGCCTGGACCGAGAGCGAGCGGGAGGTGCTTGGGGCGTTGGCTGTCTGCAGACCGCGGCCAAGTATGGCGTGTGCTGGGTAGAAAGCAGGGAAGAGAATGAAGGGCTCCGCTGGACGCCTGCCGTGGGCTGCCTCCGCTCACAGAAAAAGTCTGCTTCTCTCACAGAAGGTAGTTGCTGTCAGTCCGCAGCTTCTGGCCTGTGACAGGGACCTGGGCCAACGGACAGTCTAGTTATGTCGGACAGGAAGTGCCATGGGATGGCACAGACATCACATGGTGGCATGTGAGTTGTACTTTGAAGAATATGCTGACAGCCAGCATGCCGAGTCTAACGTGTCTAACACCATGCTGAGCACATGCGTGAGAGCTGAATGAGGTAGTTACCTGAGCACGGATGGTGCACGTGGATGCCGGGAGCGAAGCTTGGGAGCCGTTGACGAATTTTTAAAAATACATTTTAAAAAATATATATATTTTATTGATTTTGTACAGAGAGGAAGGGAGAGAGAGAGAGTTAGAAACATTGATGAGAGAGAGTCATCGATCAGCTGCCTCTTGCACACCCCCTAACTGGGGATATGCCCGCAACCAATTTACATGCCCTTGACTGGAATCGAACCCGGGTCCCTTCAGTCCCCAAGCCGACGCTCTGTCCATTGAGCCAAACCGGTTTTGCCGTTGACGAATTTTTAAAGGTTTATTATGAAACTCTCCAGATGCAACCCAAGTAGAAGACTCTACGCACACAGTACTTAGCACTGAAGTTTTACCTGAGCGGGTGTGATTGATCATTCACATTGCTGTGTGGCTCCAATCAAGTTCTGATGGTTAAAAGAGCAAGCCCTCATTTACATAGAAAACTACTTTCCTTACCACCTCATTGCCAGGCAGTTCCTATCTCATTGTGATTTTATGAAAATGCGCTTGTGTGACACTCCGTTTGTTTTCCAGGTTGCTGTTGTCAAAATGAAGAACACTGAACGCATTTATGCCATGAAAATCCTCAATAAGTGGGAGATGCTGAAAAGAGCAGAGGTGAGTGTGAGGAGCCAGGCCCCGCCTTCCTCCTTGGCCTTCCTCCTGGGCAAGAGTGCGCAGATGTCCGCCTCTTGGCATCAGATGTCCGCCCCCCCCCCTTTGCCCTCTGCACTGGTGTTTGCGCCTGTCCCCTCTCCCCTTCCGAGAGTCCCCTCCCCCCGCCCAGAGTCCCCTCGTTCTGCCCGAGAACCCCTCACGTCTGGATGGAGCTGAATAAGACGTCTATTTCCTGGACGGTGATGTGCTGGCCGCCAGTTTAAGAGTGGGCTTCGCCGGGCGTGGTGGTGGGTGGGCGCTGGAGAACGTGAGCGTCCACTCTGGAACCGTCCCCAGGCCGGGGCTGGGCGGGGCTGCTAGGGCGGACCGTGGGCCAGCGCGTCCTCACGTCTCCTCTAGTCAGTAGAACCCGGACACATCCGCCTCAGGATTCCTTTTTAAAGAAGCCGAGGAGAGAACACGTGAGGAGAAAGCACGCGGTGAAGGTCCCGCTGAGATCGGAGAGAACAGGCCTCTGTCTGACACCCTGCACCCAGGCCTCCGTCGGGCCTGTGTTTTTGCAAGTTTCACACATAAGGAGTGAAATCTTACGTTAAGTCCTCGGTAAAGAGGAGTTTTACTGTCATTATGCTGAAGACCTGGCTGCTTTTACTGTTTAAAAGTTCCCCTTTGCTCCGTCAGTTACCCCGCTCACTCCTGTGTGTGTTCCTGCCTCTGCTTTTCCCCTCGCCTTGTCTCTGCCCCTCTCTGCAGCTGCCAGCTTGTTCTCTGTCTGCGGGGATGTTTCTGCTTTGTCTGTCTAGTCACTGAGCAAAGTACCCTCTAGGTCAATCTGCTGTTGCAAATGGCAAGATTCCATTCTTTTTCAAGGCTGAGTAATAGTCCATTGCACAGGGCTGACATCTTTATCTGCTCATTTGTTGATGGGCACTTGGGTTGCTTCCGTATCTTCGCCATCCTCCTACATAATAAAAGGCTAACATGCAAATTGTCCCTCGGGAGTTCGACTGCTCACTATGATGTGCACTGACCACCAGGGGGGCGGTGTGGAGCAAAGGAAGGCCCCCATTGGCCCTGACCACCACCCAGCCCTAGGGATCCTCCCCAAGTATGCATTTCATGCACCGGGCCTCTAGAAAGAAATGCTGTGGTGAACATAGGGGTGCGTATATTGTTTTGAACGAATGTATTTGGTCCTTTTTGGATAAATACTGAGCAGTGGCATTGCTGAGTCAGATGGCCCTATTTTTCATTTTCTGAGGAATCTCTATCCTGTTTGCCATAGTGGCTGCGCCACTTTGTAATCCCAGCAACAATGAGTGAGGATTCCCTTTTCTCCACATCTTTACCCATGGCTGTTTCTAATACAGGTGCAACCTCTGTATTAAGGCTTTAAAAAAAACAAACAAAACTGTGGAGTCTAAAAATAGAGGCTTCTACCCCCATGCTCCAGGCCATGGTCCTCATGGGAGAATTCTGTTAGGAGGTGTGCATCAGTATCCTGCAGAGAGGCCACGTTCCTTAAAAATAACCACCCAGACCGAAGCCAGTATGGCTCAGTGGATAGAGCATCGGTCTGCGGACTGAAGGGTCCCAAGTTCGATTCCGGTCAAGGGCATGTACCTTGGTTGCGGGCATATCCCCAGTAGAGGGTGTGCAAGAGGCAGCTGATCGATGATTCTCTCTCATCGATGTTCTATTATAACTCTGTATCCCTCTCTCTTCCTCTCTGTAAAAAATCAATAAAATATATTTAAAAAAAAAAAATAACCACCCAGGTGAGGAAGCAGGTGTGTGTGCATCCTGCCGGTCACGTGGCTGCTAGACTGTGGGTCCGTAATGGCAGACACGCCCCCAGGAGGCGGACCCCATGAAGAGGAGTCAGGTGGTACTGGATGGGAGGGGCCCAGCCCAGAAGCTGTTGCCGACCCATCCCCACTAGTGAGCTGACTCTCCAGCGTGGGCCCTAGAGACAGTGGGTGGAAGGGGTGGGTGTGGGAGCAGGAGGGCCGGGGCGCCGCCTTCAGGGGCACAGTGTGCTGCGGATGGGGTGCAGCCGCCTGGGAGACGGTGCGCGCCGGGTGCCGGCGAGCGGAGGCCGGAGGACAGGTGACGCCTCCGGCGCCAGGCAGTGGGCCCTCTGCTCAGGACGCCCTGCGGGTGTTCCCCACCCACACTGACGCTCCGGTGCCTTGCAGACCGCGTGTTTCCGGGAGGAGCGCGACGTGCTGGTGAACGGGGACTGCCAGTGGATCACCACCCTGCACTACGCCTTCCAGGACGAGAACTACCTGGTAGGTGGTCAGGCCGCGGTTCTGACACCCTCGCGCTCTCACTAAACACTGGAGAGAACCGACAGCCGGCCTTTATGTAGGTCCTGGCTCCGCGAAACTGAGGTTTGGCTTAGTCGTGGGTTCTCAGCTGGTGACTGGCCGTGCTTCCTCCTTGTGGCCCGGTCCATGCTCGTCCCATGAGCCGGTGACAGGGAGGGGGTGGGCGTGAGCCTGGGCCTGCAGCGGTGCACGTGTTCTCAGTGCGTGTCCGTGGCTGGTCTCCAGGCAGCCTGTCTCCCCCGGCCGGTGTGTTACCTGCTCAGACCAGAGCGTCCGTCCCTTACAGGGAAGCCCGCAGCAAGGAAGTGGTCCCGGGAGGCCGGACCGGCAGCCCCGCCCCAGTTCAAAGGCTCGGCACATCCCGGCTCTGGGGGACGGCCTCCATCCGTCTGGGTCCGTGGCGGGTGGGATGCCCCAGGGGGTCTCCACAGCCCAGCCTGTCCCCCAGCCTTCCCCATGCGGAGGAGAGCTCTGAGCAGGTCCGGCTCACTGGCTCCTTTCTGCTCCAGCAGTGGGCTTTCTTTCCTCCACAGGGTGAAGCCTAAGTGCTTAGCTCTTAGTTTGTTCGTGAGCTTACTGTCTTTCCTCATGAGAGCTGTAGTTTTTTGTGGTTTTAGCTGGTTCCCCTTTTCTCTGGCCCAAGTGTGCTCTTTCTGTGATGGAGAGCCTGGGGGTGACTCTGACCCTAGCCTTGGTGCCATCGTGGTGACCCGGGCTTGTGATAGGATCAGCGGTGCGGGTGCCGAGGGCGGGTCCCAGGCCTGTCCTCACTCTAGGGCCTCGGCTTCCGCGGTGAAGCTGGGCCTTTGCTCGTCAGGCGCAGTGCTGACGGGACTCCGTGTTCTGTCCCCTCCCCGCTCGCAGTACCTGGTCATGGACTACTACGTGGGCGGCGACCTGCTGACCCTGCTCAGCAAGTTTGAGGACAAGCTCCCCGAGGACATGGCGCGCTTCTACATCGGGGAGATGGTGCTGGCCATCGACTCCATCCACCAACTCCACTACGTGCACAGGTGCCCCCCCTACCCCCCTCCCCCCCCCGCGTCCCGGAGACCAGTCCTCCAGGTGACCCCATCCCAGGTGGTCAGCCGGTCTCGCATTTGGTGCTCACACTGAGCGGCTGGCACTGGCACCAGAGGTCCCGGCGTCACTGACAGGAGAGCTAATGTCCTCAGTTCCCGGTGCCCCAGAGCCCATGCGAGGTCCCCACCCCGTGTCTCCTCTCTCTCAGCTCCACTCCACTGTCATGTCCACCCCCAGGGCCCTGGCAACGAGCGCCCGCAAAGCCTCGCAGAGGGACGCGGGTGGGAGAGGAGGGGGCTGTGAGGCTTGCTGGTGACGATCGGATGGTGGCCGTTTGCCGTCACTGAGGAAGCCACTCACTGCCCCACAGAGGCCGGCGGGAACCCCCCTCCCGGCTCTCAGTGCTCAACACCCCCTTCGCTTTCATTTTATTGTCTTTTTAATTTCTAATTTCTTTATATTATAATATTTTTATTGATTTCAGAGAGGAAGGGAGCGGGAGAGAGCGATAGAAACATCATTGATGAAAGAGTATCATGGATCGGCTGCCTCCTGCACGTCCCCTACTTGGGATCGAGCCCACAACTCAAGCATGTGCCCTTGACTGGAATCGAACCCAGGTCCCTTCAGTCCATAGGCCACGCTCTATCCACTGAGCCAAACCAGCTAGCATTGCTTTTATTTTTTGTTAATCCTCACCTGAGGGTATTTTTTCCATTGGTTTTTAGAGAGACAATTGGTTGCCTCCTGCTCACACCCTGACTAGGGCAAGGAATCAAGCCCATGACCCCTCAGTTTGAGGGTGGACACTAACTACTGGGCACACTGGGCAGGGCCCTCCTTTGCTTTCTTTTCTTTTCTTTTCTTTTCTTTTTTTAAAATATATTTTATTGATTTTTTAAAGAGAGAAAGAGAGAGGGATAGAGAGAAACATTGATGAAAGAGAATCATCAATCAATCAGCTGGCTCTTGCACAACCCCTACTGGGGATGTGCCCGCAACCAAGGTACATGCCCTTGACCGGAATCGAACCCGGGACCTTTCAGTCTGCAGGCTGACGCTCTATCCACTGAGCCAAACCGGTTTCGGCCATCCTTTGCTTTCAAAGCTTGTATTCCCTTTTCATGCAGTCAGCCATAGAAGCTTATTCTGTCAGAAATGGGGGCAGGTGCTCAGAGTCCGCCCCCTCCCCGCCCAGTGAGGGGGGTACACAGACAGCAGGTGCGAGTGCTGGTTAGAGAGGCACCGGGCTGCCCTGGCACCAGGCAGGTCAGCTCGTGCTCCAACCTTTGCCTGTCAGTACAGTTTGGGGGCTCCTGGTGGTTCGTTAGCCTGCAGGGGTTGGCCACCTGACCCTCCATGCGCCTCTCTGACCCTCCCTGTTTCTGTTCCTCCCGTTCCTTGTCGGCCCCCACCAGTGGGCTGTGCCCGAGACTGGATGTGCCGGATGAGAGGCATGGCTGCTGCCGCCCGCCTGGCCAGTCCCCGCAGGAGACTCTCCAGGCGGCCCCAGCTCTCCCGCCGCCCGGGGGCTGGGACCTTCCGAGAGCGCATGGCGCTCATGTGTGTCTGCCTCCCACAGGGACATCAAGCCCGACAACGTCCTCCTGGATGTGAACGGGCACATCCGCCTGGCCGACTTCGGGTCGTGTTTGAAGATGAGTGATGATGGCACTGTAGGTACCTTCCATCCTCCTGGGAGAGTGAGATAAGCCATGTCTGAACAGGGTGTGGCTTCCTTCCCACCTGCACTGCACTCCCTCTGCCAGTGTCCACGGCGGCTCCTGGGCAGAGCCAGCGCGCCCTCCTGATTCCCGCGGACTGGCTCTGGGCTGCTGCCCAGCTCTCTACTGGACAGGCCTTCCTCGGGTTTGCAGGCCCTGCCCTCCCAGTGACAACTGTCCTTGCTGCCCACAGAGGGGGCACCATGCCCAGCTCACCCTGCTCAGGGCCTAGGACTGTCCTGCCCTTTCTGAGGCCTTAGCCACTGGTTCCCTGGCGGGAATGTCTGAGCACCTGGACCTGCCTCCGGACAGTCCCACGGGGAGGCTGAAGGGCAGGCTGTGAGAGGCAGGTTAGGGGCTGCTCAGAGCCCACTCCACCAGCGCCCGGGGCTCTGAGCGTGGACGCCTGAGGAGGGCTGGCTGGACACACCTGGTCCCGACCATAGTGAGCAGCGACAGAGCCCGGGGGAAGTGGCGCCCCCTTGGGCTGCGACGCCACGGGGGCTGTGGTGGTTTGGGCATGGAGACTGGCGAGCGGGAGCCCCTGGCACTTGCCCTGTGTGTAGCCAGGGAGCACCCATTTGCTTGAATTTTGAAACCAGGCGTCTCTGAGTGAGGAACTTGAACTGGCGACGCCGCAGGTTCCCCTGAGCACACCCTCCCCTCCCAGGTGCGGTCCTCAGTGGCCGTGGGCACGCCGGACTACATCTCGCCGGAGATCCTGCAGGCCATGGAGGACGGCATGGGCAAGTACGGCCCCGAGTGCGACTGGTGGTCGCTGGGCGTGTGCATGTACGAGATGCTGTACGGGGAGACGCCCTTCTATGCCGAGTCGCTGGTGGAGACCTACGGGAAGATCATGAACCACGAAGTAAGTGGTGCTTCCATGTCGCGTCCGTGCGGGGCCCAGCCAGCCGAGGGGCTCGGCGTGGGAGCCGCGGGGCCCACTGTGGAACTGTGGTCGTTGGGGAAGAGGCAGGGTGGGCCTGGGGGGCGGGTGGGAGCGGGGAGATTCAGGACAGGGTAGCAGTGGACTTGGCTCAGGCTGCGACACAGCAGGTGCAGGCGGGCTTCAAGGACAGTCCGTGCTCTGGGGCGAGGATGGTGGTTGTCAGGTCAGAACCTGCAGCGCACGGTGTGGCGTGTGGTAGCCGTGGGCTGTGTCCCTGGGACCCAGCGGGGAGGACCTGGCAGCCCTGATGGGGTCTCCTCACCACCAGGTCAGCACAGATCCAGTTCATGTCCCAGAACCAGTCATCACAGTCACACCCATGGAGGGGTCTCTGGTCCCCTCTCCCCCCCTCGTTCCCTCCCTGGTTCCTCTCCCGCTCCCAGCCTTGCCTTCTTTCTGTTTCCTTCATTTGCTTGTTTTTCTTTTCCGTCTAATGTTCTTGGTCATCTGTTATTTTTCTTTATTCTTTTTACTCAAATATTTCTTTAAAAAAAAAAAAAAATATATATATATATATATATATATATATATACACACACATACATATATATGTATGTATGTATGTATTTTATTGCTTTTTTACAGAGAGGAAGGGAGAGGGATAGAGAGTTAGAAACATCAATGAGAGAGAACCATCGATCAGCTGCCTCCGGATGTCCCTGCAACCAAGGTACATGCCCTTGACCGGAATCGAACTTGGGACCCTTCAGTCCACAGGCGGATACTCTATCCACTGAGCCAAATCAGCCAGGGCTCAGATATTTCTTTCTAATACCCATTTCACTCTCTGTACTCTCCCTCACCCGCTTACACGCTCACAGGATAACACATTCTCGAGATGGCTCCAGGGGGCTGGTCTGTTGGGAGCACGTGAACACGTATGCGGGGAATGGTCTAATGACTCAAAGCAAGGGGTCCTGTTAACAAACACTTTCTTCAAAGAAGAAGCACCTCCCACTTGTGAAGTAGTTTACGCCTGCTATACAGCCTCCGATGATGCCACGCTCACAGTAGGGGGTGGCACCACCACCACTTCTCAGTGTGGGCGCAGTGCCGTGCGGCTGTGTCCCAGGTGGTGGTCCTCACAGCAGCCAGGGACTGGCTTTTGTCCCTTTTCATGAGTCACAGGTGACCCGAGACGGCGGTTGTGGCTGGCACGCAGGCCTGAGAGAAGGGGAAGGCCACGGTGGCCCGGTGCGCTCCGGCAGGCCTGCGCTGCCCCCACCTGTGCACAAACGTTCACCTCTGTTCCCGTTCGGGGAGGGCGCTGGCCCGCCTGCCCCACGAGGCCGCAAGGCCATGCTCCCCAGCGGTCTGCACTGAGTTCGTGGCCTGATCCTGCTTGCCCCCTGCGGCCGCCTCCCAAGCGCCTCATCACGCACCCCTCCCCCACCAGGAGCGGTTCCAGTTCCCGTCCCACGTCACAGACGTGTCTGAGGAGGCCAAGGACCTCATGCAGAGGCTCATCTGCAGCAGGGAGCGCCGGCTGGGCCAGAACGGGATCGAGGACTTCAAAAAGCACCCCTTCTTCCAAGGGCTCAACTGGGAGAACATACGGAACCTGGAAGCACCGTACATCCCCGACGTGAGCAGTCCTTCCGACACGTCCAACTTCGACGTGGACGATGATGTGCTGAGGAACATCGTGAGTTTGGGCTCTGCTGGGCGTGTGCAGTGGTCTGCTTGCTGGGGCGGGGCCTCGGGGGCTCGCAGGTCCCTAGGAGGGGGGCTCGCATCCCTAGGAGGGGGGCTCGCAGGTCCCTAGGAGGGGGCTCGCAGGTCCCTAGGAGGGGGGCTCGCAGGTCCCTAGGAGGGGGGCTCGCAGGTCCCTAGGAGGGGGGCTCACATCCCTAGGAGGGGGCTTGCAGGTCCATAGTGGTTTCATGGGCTGCGTGTCCAGACAGAACTGTGCAGCTGGGCTGGTGTTTGGAAGGTTAGGCAGGTGTCTCCAGGACAGCGCCTTCTAGCTTGGGCCTTGTTGTCCCTTTTTAAAAGTAAGGGATTGCAGTTGGAGAGAAAGAGAGTTAAATAGCTGTTTTGTCTTAGAGTTTGTTAGAAAACTCCTGCCGTGGCTTTTATGGTGTTTTTTACCTTTTCAAAGCGGTGTCATCTCCGTTATCAGAGCGTCCCCTGAGGCCTCTTCCCGCCTAAAGCCCTGCAGCCTCTGGCCCCGGCCCTCCACCAGCCCTGACCCTGGGGCCCGGGCTGCGGGTCTGCTTCTCAGCAGCTCTCGGGCACCGGCCGACTTCCAGGTCCGTCCTGCCCTGGGCCCTCCGGGTCTGAGCAGGGCGACAGGCGGGTTCTGCTCACGCCGCACCCTCAGTTTGGTCCCTTCCAGCCCGGCCTTTACTCTGTCCACGCTGTGTCCTGGTTTGGGGACAGGAGCAGGTTAGCCAAGAAAAGGAAGAGTTCGATGGCTCCTTAGTTTGCCAGGGTCAGAGCTGCCTCAGAGCACAGCTCGGCGAGAGGCACCGTCACTGCTGAGGCTCTCCGGGCCTGAGTGGTCGCTGCTGTTTTGTTTTGAATAAAGAAGCGTTGTCACACTGAGGGCAGGGTTGTAACTAGTGGTCACCTAGGACAGTCTGCCTCTGGGCTCAGACCTCCGCTCTGCCTCCAGCCTGACTTGGCCAAGAGCTGCAGCCTCTGCCCATGGCCCCAGGCGGCCTGCCCCTCTGCTCAGGGTCATGTTGAACAAGATGCCGTGGCTTTAAACAGTGCAAGTTACTGGCCTGGTCCGAGTTTGGCCTGTGCCGTTCTCTCCATCAAAAGCAGTGTGTCTACCCCCTAACTGTGTGGCACGTCAGAAGAGCCAGGAATGAGAAATGGCCCTGCCAGTGCCCAGCCCTGCAGCGACCCTGCATCCTCCCCCCATTGCACCTGCGCGCTCCCCTTCCCCGTGAGCACGCTCTCCTGTGCCGAGCGCGCTCTCCTGTGCCGAGCGCGCTCTCACGGTGCCGTGCGCGCGCTCACGGTGCCGTGCGCGCGCTCACGGTGCCGTGCGCGCTCTCCTGTGCCGAGCGCGCTCTCCTGTGCCGTGCGCGCTCTCCTGTGCCGTGCGCGCTCTCACGGTGCCGTGCGCGCTCTCACGGTGCCGTGCGCTCTCTCACGGTGCCGTGCGCGCTCTCACGGTGCCGTGCGCGCTCTCCTGTGCCGTGCGCGCTCTCCTGTGCCGAGCGCGCTCTCACGGTGCCGTGCGTGCTCTCACGGTGCCGTGCGTGCTCTCACGGTGCCGTGCGCTCTCTCACGGTGCCGTGCGCGCTCTCCTGTGCCGTGCGCGCTCTCCTGTGCCGAGCGCGCTCTCCTGTGCCGAGCGCGCTCTCCTGTGCCGTGCGCGCTCTCACGGTGCCGTGCGCGCTCTCACGGTGCCGTGCGCGCTCTCACGGTGCCGTGCGCGCTCTCCTGTGCCGTGCGCGCTCTCACGGTGCCGTGCGCGCTCTCACGGTGCCGTGCGCTCTCTCACGGTGCCGTGCGCGCTCTCCTGTGCCGTGCGCGCTCTCCTGTGCCGTGCGCGCTCTCACGGTGCCGTGCGCTCTCTCACGGTGCCGTGCGCTCTCTCACGGTGCCGTGCGCTCTCTCACGGTGCCGTGCGCGCTCTCCTGTGCCGTGCGCGCTCTCACGGTGCCGTGCGCTCTCTCACGGTGCCGTGCGTGCTCTCACGGTGCCGTGCGCGCTCTCCTGTGCCGTGCGCGCTCTCACGGTGCCGTGCGCGCTCTCACGGTGCCGTGCGTGCTCTCACGGTGCCGTGCGCGCTCTCACGGTGCCATGCGTGCTCTCATGCAGGAGATGCTGCCTCCTGGCTCTCACACGGGTTTCTCTGGACTGCACTTGCCGTTCATCGGTTTCACGTTCACCACGGAAAGGTACGTCTGGTCCTGTCGTTCCCCGTGTGGGGCTCTGCTCTGCGCAGGACGGGTTGGGGCTCCGGATGCCCCCTTAGGGGAGGCATGGGGGGGTCTGTCCTTTAAAACTGCGCCTCTGGTCACTGCATGAGGTGACGCAGCAGGTCGGACTCTTCCTAAGAACCTGGGAGGGAGTAACAGGCTTTGTGGTCTGGGTCGTTTATTCTTCACCCTCCTCAGCAGCCCTTGGGCGACGTAAACACCTTCTTGGTACAATGGGCGGGGGAGGGCAGGCCACAGCACGGTGCCATGTGGTCCAGTGTGGCCTCGGTGGCAGCTACACGCTCGACCCAGAGCGTCTTTCCTTAGGACACTGGCCTTTCGGGGATCGGCCGGAGCCCAGCTGCCATTAGCGGCCGAGCGCACTGCCTGCAGAGCAAGAGCCACACCCCCGTGGGCCTCCAGCCCGCGCGCCAGTGCCACCGCTGGTGTTTCTGTGTGTCTGTCCGGATGGGCCTCTCCACAGTCATGGCTCCCTCCCTCTGAGAGGGACTCGGAGGCAGAGGGGCGGGGTTAGGGCGGCGGCAGTCAGGTGACCTGCCACGGGGTCTGCAGGAAGCTCACGGCTCGGCTCCCAATACACTAAACAGCAGCTGAGCGCCAGAGCCGGCTGCTGCCTCCCGCCCTCGCGGGTGGCCCAGGAGGGGGCGTGTTGCCTTCCTGTCTGTCCAGGGTGCAGGCTCGCCATCTGCCAGGTGCCCCCAGCTCACCAGGTGCCGGTCAAGCCTGTGGTCTCAGGGCAGAGGCTGTAGTTTTGAGGGTTGGGCCCAGGACCTTCTGGAATGGACCGCGTAGAGCAGGATGCATGCCTCCCATGCACACACCAAGGGATGCACAAACCACTGCATGAGGTGACGCCCCCCAGGACGCGCACGCCACAGGGATGCAGGGCACCCCCGGCCACTTCGAGAAACCCTGCTGGGCCCTTCTGTCGACATACCCGTGCTGGTGCCTGCTGCACGCGGTGCAGGAGGAGCGGGCAGGTACGGCTCAGTGGTGCCAGCAGCCTCTGGAGTGGAAGGAACCCTCAGGTAGCAGGGGCTCGGGCCCCAGGGCTGAAGGGACTGTCCCTGGTTAGTGGCAGAGCCAAGAAGCCCTTCGTGGCTTGTGCTGCTCTGGCCGCACTGCTGTCCTCCGGTGTCACCCGGTGCCACCTCTGAGCAGCCGGCGAGGCCTCGGGGCCCAGCTCCGCATTGCCTTGCTGGGAGCCATGGCTCAGGAATGGCTTTCCCTCAGTAGCAGACGGGCTCTGGCTGGCTCCGAGGGCTGTCCTGGGCCATTGTCACCCAGTTCCTGCTGAGGAGGACGCTTGTCTGGCTCTGGCTCGGTAACAATGAGCCTTTCACAGGTGTCCGGGCCTGCCTTCCACCCCAGGGAGCTTTAAATGCTGCCCGGGCCCCAGGGCTCAGTGCGAGGCTGTGCTTTGTTTGCAGCTGCTTTTCGGACCGCGGCTCTCTGAGGAGCATGATGCAGTCCAGCACCGTGACCAAGGACGAGGGCGTGCAGCGGGACCTGGAGAGCAGCCTGCAGGCCGAGGCCTACGAGCGGCGGATCCGGAGGCTGGAGCAGGAGAAGCTGGAGCTGAGCAGGAAGCTGCAAGGTGAGGGTGCACACATCCCCTGCCCTCTGGCTCCTGTGGCTGCGGGGCTCGCTCCAGGGCTGCACTCATGCCTGTCCCCCCCGCCAGAGTCCACGCAGACCGTGCAGTCCCTCCACGGCTCGGCTCGGGGCCTGGGCAGTGCGGCCCGAGATAAAGAGGTGAAGAGGCTGACGGAGGAGATTGAGCGCCTGAAGAGTAAAATAGCAGGTACGCTACGGTCAGACCGAGTGGGCTCCGTGCTCAGGGCGCTGTCTCCGCACAGGAAACTTCGGAGCAGAAGCAGGGACGGCCTCCGTGTCAGCAAGCCTGTCGGGTCCACACTTTGTCAGTCCCCTTAAAGCCCCAGCGGCCCAGCGCTGCTGCTTTCCTAGCTCCAGCCAGAGGCAGCTTCTGCTGTGCCCAGACTCGGAGCCTGGTGCCCTCCCTGCCCTGGCTCCTCTGGGCTCAGGCCACGCCGGCCTCTCCGGCTGCAGTGAGCCTGCTCTCCGGTCCTAGTGCTGCATCTGCTGCCTGACCGTCCTCCTGGTTCCTAGGTTATCGGTTCCCTACAGCTCAAGTCACTTCTGAGTCTTGACCTTTGACCTGACAGGTTGGCGCTGCCGCTGACGCATCGCCAGGCTGACCTGAGGCGGGCAGCTTCTCCCCCGTTCTGTCTGGAACCCCCGTCCCCACCCACACAGGCTCCGTGGAGTCTGCTCTCAGCGAAGCTGTCGCCCCTGGGACTACACTGCCAGCTCCCAGGGCAGCGAGGACGCAGGGGGAGGGTGCCGGGAGGCTGCGGGGCCCTGCTGTGCGGGCAGTCCAGAGGCCTTTCCGGGAGCGGGCGGTCGTTGAGGCTGGAATCCGAGGAGCTTCCGCGTGGGGGACACGGTTTGTTCTCTCCTTGCTCAGACTCCGGCAGGCTCGAGCGACAGCTGGAGGACGCGGTGGTGCTCCGCTCGGAGCAGGAGGGCTCCGCGCTGCGGCTGAAGGGCCTGGAGAAGCAGTACCGCGTGGCGCGGCAGGAGAAGGAGGACTTCCACAAGGTAGCCGAGCGGCGGCTCCGCGCAGGGGGACTGGTGCGCCTGGTCTGCTGGCTCAGCCGGCTCAGCCGGCTCAGCCAGGAGCGGCCCCTGGGGCCCCTGCTTCCAAAAGGGGCGCTTGGCCGCCACCGGCTGTGCAAGGGTGTCTCCCCCAAACTTCTCCATCAGTTTGACTTCTCAGAAAACCCATTGCTGTGTGTCCACTGGGGTTGAGCTTTCTAAAGAGGCTCATTTAGGCACTCAGGCAGTGGACCTGCGCTTGGGGTCTGCTCCCTGAGATGCGCGGGTTTCAAACCCAGGCTGCGGTGGCTCACGTGGTGTCCCAGCACCTGCAGTGCATGGTCTGGTGTGTGCCGGGGGTGCCCTGTGCTCCCCGAGTCAGAAAGCCGCTCTGAGCCCACGGGGCCTGGTGCAGGCACTCTCTTCCCCTCGCGGAAGCCACCCCCAACCTGTGCAAGTCCTGCTTCTTCCAGCCTCAGCCAGTGGTGCCCCAGGGACCAGAGCAGGGCGGTGGGGTCAGTGCAGCCAGCTCCCATCGGACTCCAGGAGAGGGCCAGCCGCCCGACTGCTCACAGTTCTTACTCTGAGCAGAGTCTCAGCCTTCCTGGTGTCAGTGCCCTTTCCGGCTCTGTGGTCTGGGTAGTGGGGGCTCTGGTTACATAACGTTTGCCGCATTCATCCGCTCCCTTTGTGACTGTGGGCGGCATTGAGGCATCACCGTGCGGGGTGTGGGGCGCTGTTCCCCGGGCTGGGGGGGGTGGTCTGTCTGGATGGGGCTCAGCCCGAGCGCAGGTGCACGTCCAGGCTCACACAGCCGATGGGGGGAGCCTCGGACCGTGCTGTCCCTGAGCTCCCAGCCTTCCCACCTGGACAGCAGGTCCAGCAGCGTCATTCTTTCTGCTCAGCAACTGGTGGAAGCGTCAGAGCGCCTGAAGTCGCAGGCCAAAGAGCTGAAAGATGCCCACCAGCAGCGGAAGCTGGCCCTGCAGGAGTTCTCGGAGCTCAGCGAGCGCGTGGCAGAGCTGCGCGCTCACAAGCAGAAGGTGTCCCGGCAGCTCCGCGACAAGGAGGAGGAGGTGGAGGCCGCCATGCAGAGGGTCGACTCCATGCGGCAGGAGGTCCGCAAGTCCGAGCGGCTCCGGAAGGAGGTAGGGGCAGGGGCGCGGGCTGCACTGGTGGGCTTTCGTGTGACCCCAGACCGGTAGAAGCTGGCGCAGCACAGCCACCAGGGTGGCCGTGCACTCAGGTGAAGCCGAATGGGTGGGTCTGACAAGCGATGGCTCTGTGGTCCTCAGGAGAGACGCCTGCAGGGCTGGGTTTTGAAGTTTCCTTGGAAGCTAATGGAGGTTCACGCCCAACAAGCATGTCGTACACGTGCCAGTGGGATGCAGCGGGCTTCCGGGATGCGCACACACACACACACACACACACACACACACCCGCGTCCAGCATAGCCAGATGGGGCTGGCTCAGCATGGTCCTCACGCAGGCAGGCCAGTGGGGCCTGGAGAGCTGGTCTGTGTGGCTTGTGGCTTTCACGTTCCCTACGTTAGACGTGGAAAGTGATACTTTTTCATTATAACAGTAAACACGTTACAAATGAGCCTAAATAGTGTTTTAATTATTTTCCCCAAAAATGTAGGAAGAAGAGTGGCAATTTTTACATCTTTGTCCTTTTCTTAAAGAACTGGCTGAACAGAAAACACCTGTGTTCTGTGTGGTGGGCACTGTCTGGGCACGGACTGGGCTTGGACCTGGGGGGAGAGGGCCATGGGGAACGTGCTGTGAGAAGCCTGCGGGCTGTACTCCCAGCAGTGGGTCTGAGCCCAGTGGCAGTTCGTCTTCAGTATTTGGAGGAAGCCCCACGCTGTGCTGCACAGAGGCTGCCTGTCCGCAGCCCGTTGGCTGCTGCAGCCCGTTGGCCTGTAGTTGCAGCCACTGTAATCAGGGAGCTGCGAGCACCGCCATTGGGACGAGGGTGAGGGGACCTGCTGCTGGGCCTGCGGACCCGCTGGGAGCAGAAGTGCTCCATTTAAGCACTTCCTCCAGCATCAGAGAACACCGTCTCAACCCAGTGCCTTTCTCAGCGTTTCACAGCAAATTACCATTTATGTTAGAGTTTAACGTTGGTTTACTAACCAGCCATTCCAGTCAAGCCCTGAGGCCTGCTCCTCAGACTTGACCAGGAGATGAAACCTGGGGCAGAGTGAGGTGAGAGCTCACAGGATTCTGCGTGCTGAGAGACCCGGTGGGCAGGGAGGGTGCCTCTGAACCGCACTTCTCCGTTCTGCAGCTGGAAGCTCGGCTCGAGGACGCCGTGGCCGAGGCCTCCAAGGAGCGCAAGCTTCGCGAGCACAGCGAGAGCTTCTCCAAGCAACTCGAAAGTGAGCTCGAGGCCCTCAAGGTAGGCCTGCGGGGCCCCGCTCCCACCAACAGCTGTGACCCTCCCTCCTGGCTGGGGACTCATCCCGTCACTGGCACCTGTGCCTCTGGGCACCTGGGTTTCGTTTCTTTTCTTTTTATTGACTTTTTACAGAGAGGCAGGGAGAGGGATAGAGAGCTAGAAACATCGATGAGAGAGAAACATCGACCAGCTGCCTCCTGCACACCTCCTCCTGGGGATGTGCCCGCAACCAAGGTACATGCCCTTCACCAGAATCGAACCTGGGACCTTTCAGCCCGCAGGCTGATGCTCTATCCACTGAGCCAAACCGGTTAGAGCTGACTAATCTTTTTCTAAACTCCTGGGCCCACTTCTGGGAAAGCTCCTCAAAGACCGGTACTGCCACTGACAGAGAGGAGACAGGCTGGTCGTCCGTGGCCGGAGGCAGTGGCGAGTGACCAGGGGCAAGGCCTGGAGTGGGAAGAGGGCGGTGGGCGGCTGGGCTCCCGGCTTACCACCTGCAACCCCAGAGCCTCTGCCGGCCTAGCCGAGGGCTCCTTGTCTGTGAAAGGAGACATTGAGGCTCCTCTCCCTCAAACCCCCTCCCAGCCCCTGGTGAATCCACCACCTCTCCCTGCACATTCTCAAGGTGTCCGTCTCTTCTCATCCTGGCTGCCACTGCCTGGCTGTGCGTCCAACCGCACTCCTGCCTCCCCCAGTCTTTGTCACGTCACCTGTGTGACTGTCTGTGGTTCCCTGGTGTGTGTCCGTCATTGCTCCTCGGCTGCAGGAGAGCAGAGACGTCACGTGGCCGGAGCCACAGGGGCCTGACAGAGGCGGCCCTTAGAGTACTGAGCGGGAGTGCTGGGCAGAGGGAGACGAAGCATTCGCAGTGCAGTGCGCACAGTGTGAAGGCCTCGGCCCTGCAGGTCTGGCACGTCCCTCCTGCAGGGCAGATGCTGTCACCCCCAAGCTGCCCTCCTGAGGACCACCTACCAGGCTCAGCTGTCACAGGGCTGTGCTTGCCGTTGGGGGCCCAGGCAGCAGCTTCCAAGGGCCTGCACGTGGGAGGGAACACGGTGTGACCCTGAGGGAGGGCAGGGAGGGGTGTGACCTACCTGAATCTTTGTCTCCAGGGTAGGCAAGGGGGCCGGGGACCAGGTGCCTCCTTAGAGCATCAGCAAGAGATTTCCAAAATCAAGTCTGAGCTGGAGAAGAAGGTCTTGTTCTACGAAGAGGAGCTGGTGAGGCGCGAGGCCTCCCACGTGCTGGAGGTGAAAACTGTGAAGAAGGAGGTGCACGACTCCGAGAGCCACCAGCTGGCCCTGCAGAAGGAGATCTTGATGTTGAAAGACAAACTGGAGAAGTCGAAGCGGGAACGGTGAGTCCCAGCTCCTCCGTGGGGGAGCCGCAGGCTTGTGCGGCGGCCGGTGGGCCGTGGCTCTGACCCTGCCCCTCCCGCAGGCTCAGTGAGGTGGAGGAGGCAGTGGGCAGCGTCAGAGACAAGCTCGAGCGAGACCGCGCCGCGCTGTCCGAGGAGAACAAGAAGCTGGCTGCCGAGAAGGAGCGGGTAACGGAAGGCGTGGGTTGCTCGGGAGGCGGGAACGTTCCGCTCGGATGCTGGCAGTTTATGTTTTAAGCATTTTTATTTTTAAAGGACGCAGTGGTGATCTTTTAAACGGGATGCTTATATTTGGTTAATGGATGCTGGCTTTCTGAAATCACTGGCTCTTGATCCCTTTTATGTTCAGATCTGCATTGAAATGTGACTGGAGTCAGATACAATAAAAAACCCACATCCTGAACCTCCTAACGATTAGAGAAAACTCAAAATCTTCAGAACGTGTAGTTTGAGTAATGCTAATGTCCTGTGTGCAGGCGCCAACTAACCCGCTGTGTGGTGCGATGATTTCCTTCCAGCTCTGCTCCTTCGTGGACAAGCTCACAGCCCAGAACAGGCAGCTGGAGGACGAGCTGCAGGACCTGGCGGCCAAGAAGGAGTCGGTGGCCCACTGGGAAGCTCAGATCGCCGAGATCATCCAGTGGTGCGTTGGCCCGCCCAGGGGCGTGACCAGGCTCAGGCCGTTGGCTGGCCACCCAGGGTGCGGTTTCTCCGGCTCCGTCTTCCTCTGTGACCTCGTGCACCTCCCGCTAGTTCTCTGCGGCCCAGGCACAGCCCTCCGCCGTGCCCGACAGCACTGAGGTCAGGTGGCCGTTCTGCCCAGGGCCACTGCACTGAGCAAAGGTGCAGAAGCAGCCACCGGCCTCTGAGGTGTGGTGAGGCTGTGCAGAGACACCTGTGACCAGCACCTTCTTTTTTTCAATACGTGCTTTTATTGATTTCAGAGAGGAAGGGGGCTGGAGACAGAAACATCAATGATGAGAGAGTCATTGATCAGCTGCCTCCTACAAGACTTACACTGGGGAATTGAACCTCCTGGTTCATAGGTTGACTCTCAACCACTGAGCCACACTAGCCGGCCTAAGGGGCATTCTGTTGTCACGGGGACTGGTGTCCCAAGAGAGGACGCTGGGTCCCTGTGCCCTCAGAGAGGCGGGACTCGGGTGCTCCTTGCTCCAGGCACTCACAGACCTGTCCCCTCCCGCAGGGTCAGCGACGAGAAAGACGCGCGGGGTTACCTCCAAGCCCTGGCTTCGAAGATGACGGAAGAGCTGGAGACGCTGAGGAGCTCCAGTCTGGGGTCGAGGACGCTGGTGGGTCGTGCCCGGAGCTCACGCTTTGTCGCCGGGGGCTCGCGGGGGCTTTGGCCGTGAGGGGCCAACACGGTCCCTGGCTGTGGGCTTGATTCCCCAGTAAGGGGCGGGCAGAAGGCAGCTGATAATGATGCTCTCTCATCACTGATATTCCTCTCCCTCTTCTCCCTTCCTCTTTGGGGGGGAAAAAATTACATTAGAGGACCTAGTTTCTTCTTTAAAAATTAGTGAAGTTTTACAAGATCTCTAAGAAAGAATAAAGGCCATAAAGTGTTGAAAATAAAATTGGCTGTGATGGACTTTGATAATATCTGAGAGTTAACTTTTAAATATGATAAAAGTTTTAAGGCAGGACCCTCGGGGGAGGGGGGTAAGGGCATGTGCGGGGGTGGGGGAGGCCGGGGAAGGTCAGTAGGGGGGAAAAGGAGACGTACGTACTAATTGTAATACTTCAAACAATAAAATAAATTTAAAATGCTAAAAAAGCTGAAGGCTAGAAAAGATGAGTTTGTCATTTGTTAGCATTAATTTTGTGAAGTCAGGAGGTTGACGTGTATCTTCGTTTGAACCTGCGCACCCAGGACCCGCTCTGGAAGGTGCGCCGCAGCCAGAAGCTGGACATGTCCGCACGGCTGGAGCTGCAGTCGGCGCTGGAGGCCGAGATCCGGGCCAAGCAGCTGGTCCAGGAGGAGCTGAGGAAGGCCAAGGACGCGAACCTCTCCTTTGAAAGGTGCTTGTCCTTCCGTGGGGGCCTGGGCACGCCCCGAGCGGGTCCTGCGCCAGCCAGCGCCTGCTGTCCCCTCACAGCCGAGGGGCTGAGTGCGGGCAGGTGTCCCCCCACACCAGTGCAGAGCCAGGAGGTGATGGCAGGTCCCCCAGCGCTGCACTGGCTGCTCTGTCCCCCACAAAAGCCTGGGAACCCCAAGACCCTGCGCTCAGGAGGTGGTAGCCACCCTCTGGCCTGTTGGGGGAAGACACAGGTATCCAGTCGGAGACCCGGGGCTGGGTGTCCTCAGGGGCTCAGGCAGTCCAGAGAGGAATGTCCAACACGCCTCAGGCTCTTGATGCACGGTGTTTACCGTCCGTTTGTGTGTCCAGACGTGTTAGGGGGAGGCCGCCCCGTCAAGCCTGTGTTTGTCCGCGTGTTTGTGGAGCCCTGGCGCGGCCTCGCCCGCCTCCCGCAGGTGGCCTGGGCTCTGCACCGACCGCGCCGGTTTCTCATTTCAGTAAACTAAAGGACTCGGAAGCAAAAAATAAAGAATTAGTAGAAGAAATGGAAATTTTGAAGAAGAAGATGGAAGAAAAATTTAGAGCAGATACCGGTAAGTTAAATGACAAATTCTTACATTTTTAAAGTATTATAAGCCCTTTGTAATGGCATGGTTTTGCTTTAGATTTAATTTCTTTCAGGGTTAATAGCTTTTAGTGCTTTGAAGACAGTACTTAGTCATGCCAAAGCCAAATTCTGAAATGGGTGCGTCCAATGGTTCGCTCCCCAAGGTCACCACAGGTCTGGGGCGTCCTTCCTATGTTTTGTCTTGAAAGAATAGAGCACACACACACACACCAGTGTAGTTAGACGTCACATCCCATGACTGAGGCTCTGCCCTGCGGCTGGCTGGTCGCCGTTCCAGCCTTGCTGTCCTGGCACCTGCTCTGTGTGGCCACGGGCACAGCATTTCCCATCCCGTCGCTGTGTTTTGGGGTGAGATGTCCAGAGTGAACCATTGACATGGAGCCTTCCGTCAGCGTTAAGAGTCTTATGTTCTCACCATGACTGTCTCGTCTTACAGGACTCAAACTTCCAGATTTCCAGGATTCTATTTTTGAGTATTTCAACACAGCCCCGCTTGCACATGACCTGACCTTCAGAGTGAGTAACTGCTTTTTACCAGCGAAAAGCGCCTTGGTGACCAGTTAGTTAGTGCCCTGTGATCTGACTCCTGTGCGGCCAGAACACCAGCCAAGCACCACCTGACGCTGACCTCAGGCTGCTCTGTCCAGCCTGTGTGTGCAGTGTGTGGGTTAGAGGCCTGCAGGGGCTTGAAATGCTTCCCAAGATGCTTCCAGAATTAGAGCGAGGAACCGCTCCGTGTCCTCAGGGCAGAGGTGGCCTGGGCCTCTGCCTGTGGGACCCCAGGCAGCGGCTAAAGCACAGCCTCGCACCGTAGCCAGGGAAGAGCAGGCAGACCTTTGGGGGCATCCCGGCTCCCCGCTGGTCTCCCCGACGGGTGGAGGCCCCTCGCTGCCGCCGCAGTTGGAGCTTGGGTGGCACCTCCTAGGGAGCGGGCAGTGCTGCCTGCGCAGGAAGTGGCAGAATGAGGGCGAGCCCCCTCCCTGTCACTCTGCCTCCCGCGGCCTCGGGCACCGCGCCCCTCCTTTCCGGAAGAGTAGGGATGGACCCCTCCTAGCAGCCTCTGGGAGCCAGGAAGGGAAAGGCCTGAGAGGGTCTCATTCCTGGGCCCGTGAGGTGCGTGCTGGTCTTCCCGCTTCATTCAGAAACGTTTCCGCCTGCAGCACAGGGGGAGTTCACGTCCGCCCATGTGCCTCCTGCCCGTGCCCCGCCCCCCCATCCTAACTAGTGAGAGTACATGGTAGGCATAGCGACTGGACTCCTCCCGAGTTCACGTCCTAAGGTCAGGCGGTCCTCCCGCGGAGCCGCAGCTGTCCGCGCTGTCCCTGTCGTGTGGATGAGGTGGCCTGAAGCCCTGGCTGCAGGTCCAGGGGAGCCTGGGACCGCGCTGAGCTGAGCTGTGCCGCCGGGTCCGGCCTGTGGACTGTGCCTCTGTGGGCAGTGCTGTGCCCGGCCCCGAGCAGCATCTGAGGCCACACTGCTCTGACGCCCCCGCCTGAGAGGAGGCAGGCATTTGGCGGGAATTCGGCAGGGGACACGGCAGTTCCACGCTTTGCGGAAGCCGTTAGGGTAAGGGGTGTGCCAGAAAAGGGCCGGAGAGGGCCAGTGGAGGCGCCACCCCCAGCAGCCTCGCCAGCGGCCGGCGCTCCTGGCTGGGCCAGCCTTTCCCGAACCCGGCAGGCTCGCTCCTCTGTCCGGGCACGGCCGCCGCCGCTTTGGAGGCGGGTATTGTCAGGGTGGCAGTGTGTCTCCCGGAGTCCTCGGCGCAGGGCGGTGTCTCGTTGTTGACTGTGTTACAGCAGAGAGTGACGGGAAGGGCGGAGAGAGAAGCATGGTGGGAGAGAACGGCATCGATGGGTTGCCTCTCACATGCACACACCCGGGATGGAGACCGCAACCTGGGCACGTGCCCTGGCTGGGCGTCGGACCTGCACCCTTTCTTGCTGAACAGGACGACATTTCAGTCAACTGAGCCACCAGCCAGGACTTTTTTTTAATAGAGAGAAACATGGACTCGTTCCACTTACGCACTCCTTCTCAGACGCTTGTATGTGCCCTGGCCTGGGACCAGACCCACCACTGCGGCGCATCGGGCACCGCTCTACCCGCCGAGCCGTGCGGCCAGGGCAGAGCTGCGTGTCCTGGAGGCTCCTCTGCAGCCCTGGTCCCCGTGCTGTGCGCCTGCGCCGCCTGCATTTCCGTCTCCGTGAGCACGTGCAGAGCCGGGCCCAGAGGCGGGTGCCCGAGAGGCCGCTCTCCTGCGGCATGGGTGCAGGGGGCCTCTCCCCTCGGGGTTCCAGCTCGGCCCTCTCACCGGCTGCACCGGGTGCTTCAGCCTGGCGGGGCGGGGCTTCGTGCCTGGTCCTCGGAGCCACACCCTGCGTGTTAGTGCTTTTCTGACTGCTGTTCGGAGCCTCCGGCCAGGAGAGAGGACCGCTACCTCCCAGGGGAAAGCCTGATCCCCTGGAGCCTGTCTCCTCGCCCCACGTCACACACGCTGGCGGGCGCTGGGAATGATTTGCCCCACAATGGAGTCCCGTTCCCATGCACATTCTTACTGGGCGGAGTGACTGTTCTGTCTGTCCCTCCTCCACGTCCACACGACACCTCGTCCACAGGACAGTGACATCGCGGTTACGAGGGCCCCCCCTCAGCGAGCGCCCTTCTGATCAGCTCACAACTGCGTGGTGAACAAACGCTCCTCGTTTTTCTAGAACTGTGGCTCTAACGTCTACCATTCCTGTTACGGGAGAGGTGTGCTCCATCTGTAGCCTTGGTGGCTGGCTCTCCGACCAGCCTTCCCCCGGGAGGCTCTGCGTGTGCAGGGCGGCCACGAGGCAGGGCTGTGGGGCTCCCGTGGGCTCCGGCCGGGCACAGGCGCTCCCTGGTCTGTCCGTGCCATAGCCTTGTGTGGCTGCGCGGCTTCCCCATGTGGGGATGGTGTGCGCGCCTGTGGACAGGAGTGAGCGGCCTTCCCTGGGGAAATACTGGCTTCAGGAACGCTTCTCACATCTAAAGATGGTCTTAGGATGCAGCTTTAGCTTTCAATTGGCTTCAAAGCTTTAGCTCCAACTTCATATTAGAAATTAATTTGGGAATCTTGAGTTGTCAGAACAAAACATTGCTTTTCTTGCATCAAACTGTCAGGGAGACTCCCTCTGGGCGTAGGCCGCAGCCTCTGAGTCCCTGAGATGAGACGTGTCCGTCAGGGGCTGGCGCCTCCCGGGCTCCCCTTCGGGTGGCGGCTCCTGCCCTGGCTGCTGTAGGGGCCTGCCAGTCCGGCCGGAGGCCCCCGCGGCCGCAGCGTGCGGAAGGCTGGTTCAGGGGAAGAAGGCCTGTGCTGGACCTCAGGTCCCCAGAGGGAGGCACTTTGTATTACTTATGCGGGGAGGTACTTGTAAAATGGAGAACATGTAGTGGCTAGCTCTCCGACCAGCCTTCCCCTGTGAGGTTCTGTGCATATGCAGGACGGCCGCAGGGCAGGGCTGTGGGGGTTGTGTGGGCTCCAGGCTGAATTCTACAGAATGAGTTCTCCATTCTCACAATTCCTTGGCCTTTTCCCCACAGACCGGCTCAGCTAGTGAGCAAGAAACACAAGCTCCAAAGCCAGAAGTGTCCCCGTCCACACCCATGGCTGCGAGCACCGAGCAGCAGGAGGTAAGACTTGCCCTGGACCGCGACCCTCAGGTCTGCCCCTCGGCCCCGTGTCCACCTGCTGCTGGAGGCCCAGGCCAGCACGCTCGGTCCGCCCGCAGTGCCAGCCGAGCCCGACTTGCATTTCAGAGCTGCCGTGGGCGCATCGGCTACATGAGGCGTGCTTTGACAGGTGTCTCCACAATGTGGCGAATTAAAAATGCAGAACTGTTCATTATTGATCAGCTCCGGGGGAGGGATCCATGCAGGGCCTGGTGGTGGAGAGCGCGCAGCGAGCACGGCGCTCACCTGTCCCGCTTGTCTCCCAGGACATGGCTCGGGCCCCACAGAGGCTGCCCGCCGGGCTGCCACCTGCCTCCCAGGCCCTCGCTCTGGCCGGACCAAAGGTAAGCCTGGCTTCCCGGCCGCCTCGCTGTAGAAGCCCGTGAAAGCAGACAGACAGCGGGTGTGTCCTGTTAGCGGGCGCGCTGAGTGCCGTGCCAGCAGGGGTTTCGGGGCCCGTGTGACCCTCCCCGGCGCTGCCTGAGCGGATTTTCACAGAAACACGTCTGCGTTAGCTCTCCCAGCCCCTTCGCTCCCAGACCAGTTCCCTCTGGTCTGTGATGTGTCTGAGTGCCTTCTCCAGGCTTACTTGCGTTTGTCCACCTGCACAGAGAAGTCACGGTGTGTGTGTGTGGGGGGAGGGTCCCTCAACCGAGAACGGCTCCTGAGTGTGCACAGCCTCGTTGGCTTTGTCACGGCCTTGAGAGCCGTGCACACATGCCCCCAGGCCACAGCTCCAGGGCCAGGGCCCGCTCCGGCTTCCCTGGCCTCCGCCTTGTGGATGCAGCCGTGGCCTCTCGGTTCCCGTCACAATGGCCGTGCAGCCAGCACTCGGCTTGGTCTTGGGCGAGGTGGTGAATGGTGTGGCCGTTGGACTTGAGTCTCAGCAGCAGGGAGCAGGTGGACTGCACTGGGTTTTGTTCACTCCTCCTGCTTCCTACAAAGGCGCCGTTTATGTGGCCTGAGCAGTGAAGGCTCGGATTTTGCCGCTATTAGCCTTGTAGACGGCCCTTTCTCCATCCCGCCTCTTTCCATCATCCACCGCGTGGCGGGGTCCCTTCTCCAGCGTGGCTGGCTCCGCTCTGCTGCTGGGACGGGGCTGCTGCTCATCCTTGTGTCATTGCTTTCAGGGGGAGGCAGCTCTGGGGGAGCCCCGCCACCGGGAGGCGAGGGGCCTGCGGCAGCCTCCGCCCCCTGCGCCCGCCTTGTGTGCGCCAGGGGTCCCTGAAGGAGGTGTGGGGCGGCCTTTGGCTCTAGCTCCTCGGTGGGGGTTGCACACCAGGCGTTGGTAGCACTGCCCGGGCCACACACACCTCAGCATGGAGTCCACTGTCCGTCTCTCAAGATGGAGCCAGCGTTCCTGCGCTGGCCGCCGCCTCCAGCGCTTCTCCTCCTCCCTGTCCTCCCACAGCCCAAAGCCCACCAGTTCAGCATCAAGTCCTTCTCCAGCCCCACCCAGTGCAGCCACTGCACCTCCCTGATGGTGGGGCTGCTGCGCCAGGGCTACGCCTGCGAGGGTGAGTGTGCCCGCGGCCCCGGGGGAGGGAGCTGTGTGAGTGCTTGTGAGCCCGGCGAAAGCCTGGTCCCGGCCTCCCCCTGTGCCGCCTCCACAGCCTGGGCTGGGCCTTGCCACGCCCGCCCTCACTCACGTCTGCGTGCAGCCACCCGTGCAGCGCAACTGGCCAGGTCACAGGTGCCGAGTGACCCTGGGCTGGGCGGCCCGAGTGCCCACGCTGGTCAGAGCCAGTGCTCACAAGGCAGGGCCCGCCCAGGTTGGCGGCCATCACCCGTCCCAGACCTGCACGTGGTTCCTGTCAGGGCTAGGGGAGGACAGAGACCGGCTCCGGACCGTCCTTGCACATCAAGGCGTCCTGGCGCCCTGCCTGCCGCTGTCCGTCCTGAGCTGTGGGAGCGAGTTCAAACCACCCCTGGGTCCGGGCTCCAGCCACATGCCTGACGCCGCCCCCTCGCCCCTCCAGTGTGCTCGTTTGCTTGCCACGTGTCCTGCCGAGACAGCGCCCCCCAGGTGTGCCCCCTCCCTCCCGAGCAGGCCAAGCGGCCCCTGGGCGTGGACGTGCAGCGGGGCATCGGCACCGCCTACAAGGGCTACGTGAAGGTAGGACGCCCGGCCCTCGTGTTTGCACGGCCCTCTGTCTGCACGCCCTCTGTCTGCACGGCCCTCTGTCTGCATAGCCCTCTGTCTACACCTCCCTCTGTCTGCACCGCCCTCTGTCTGCACGCCCTCTGTCTGCACGGCCCTCTGTCTGCACCGCCCTCTGTCTGCACCGCCCTCTGTCTGCGGCCCTCTGTCTGCACCGCCCTCTGTCTGCACCGCCCTCTGTCTGCACCGCCCTCTGTCTGCACCGCCCTCTGTCTGCACCGCCTTCGTGCTGGTCCTGGGGCCCGGGCTGAGGGTCCACGGAAACACGTTCAGTCAGGCCTGCCCGCTCCTGGCCGGGCGCTCAGCCGGGCTCGTGAGGGCCCGTCAGCCTTGGTTCCCGGGCTCCTGGCCGTGGGCGTCCTTGTCGCCGAGCTGTCCACCTGTCTCCACGTCGCCTTGTCCGTGCTCGCCCTCCACAGCAGCCCTGACCCCCGGCCCTGACCGTGCTCTGGCCCCCAGCCTGCGCGGGCAAGGGAGCTGCTGTGAGAAGCCGGCCGCGAGGGGCACCCCAGGAAGCCCTGGCCTGAGGCCCCGGCGGTGCGTTGGCCTCGCCGGCCAGTGAGACGTCCGCTTACCCGCAGGTCCCGAAGCCGACGGGCGTGAAGAAGGGCTGGCAGCGGGCCTACGCCGTGGTCTGCGACTGCAAGCTCTTCCTGTACGACCTGCCCGAGGGCAAGTCCACGCAGCCCGGCGTGGTGGCCAGCCAGGTCCTGGACCTCAGGTCTGCTTCCCCGAGCGGAGGGCGCGGGGCTCGGTAGCCCCTGACTTCCTTCCTGCCCACCCCTCCCTCACTGCGCGGACCCCAACGCAGGCAAGAACACACGTGCCGGAACGTCCTGGCTTAGGTCTGTCTGGTTAGAAACTGCGCAATGAGCATGTAACATAAGAAACGGCACGCCGAGAGCAAGCAGGGAGCGCCGGCGCGGCCGTGTCCTCAGAGTCTGTCTGTGCCTGCGGGTCCCTTGGCGACAGCAGCCTGGAGCCGGGCTGTGTGCCCCAAGGCTTGCTGGGTGGCGGCACCTCTGACCTCTCCATGCCCGTCGCCTGCCTCTGGCACCAGGCACTGAGGGCAGCGAGCATCCCCCTCATGGCTTCTCTTCTCGTTTCGTCTGCTTCCGCTTCCCATGGGTGTGATGGCACCACCTGGCCCGGAAGTGAGAGGGTGGTTGTGAAGGTGGGCATGCTGGGCACGTTCTGGCGTGTCCGGTCACCTGCCCCAGTGCCACAGAGGTTGGCAAATGCAGACAGGGACATGCTGGGGCCCAGCCTCCAGCTAGTCGCCACATTGGTTCTGGGGGAAGGCGTGCCATGGGGTGCCATGAGGAGAGCCATATGTCAGTCACCCCCACAGCGGGGCCCCCCTCCCCTGTCCCAGTGCATGGCCAGTGCATGGGGTGGTGGACACTGGGACCTGGTTTTGGAAAGCCCTGGGGACCCTGCTGTCCCTCATGCGCCCTGGCCCGGAGGCAGAGGCCGCCGGTGCTGTGCCGGTGCGAGTATGAGCGTGGCTGCCAGGCATCGGCTCGGTTTAGCTCCTTCAATTGCAGCCTGATCACAGCGTGTCCGGCCGCCGGGGCGGTGGTTTGTCCTCCCCCAGCCGCTGAAGGACTAGAGAGCCAGTGGCTCAGGGAGGAGAGGCGGAGGGGAGGTGGGGAGGAAGAGAGGGGCTTCTCGAACCCCTGCACTGGCGGCTTTGCAGGGGAAGCGCTCTCTTACCCGGGCCAAGGCCAGGGCCCCGCCCGTTGGAGGAAGTTGTCTCGAAAGCGCCTTCTGTCCGGTCTGAACAGGCCTGGCGTCCCCCCGCGCGCGCGCTCAGTGTCCCGTTTCTTGCAGGGATGAAGAGTTCTCAGTGAGCTCCGTCCTGGCCTCCGACGTCATTCACGCTTCCCGTCGAGACGTCCCGTGTATCTTCAGGGTACGGTTCTCTCCCGTCCCTTAGAGGATTCACTGGTCACAGACAGGTCACGTGGTTACAGTGAAACCCTCAGAGCTCACTGCCGGCGGAGGGACCGGAGCCCGTGGCAGAGGCCCGGCTCCCCACCCCTTCCTTGCTGCAGGCTCCTCCACACGCCCAGCCACTGCCCTCACTGCCACCTCCCTCCCCCCCCTTCCTCTCCCTCCTCACGTCAGTGCTCTGTCCCAGCATGTCCAGGGGGGCCTCCCTCCCCTCCCCTCTCAGGCCTCTGGTCAGGAGCTGGAGCGACAGAGGACCAGCACTCAGGGCGGGGAGGGGGAGGGGCGTGGCGGTCCCTCCACTGAGCTAGGGAGGCGAGGCCTCCCCTGGAGTTGTGTTGAGCTCATCACTGTTCAGAAAGCCCCTCCTTATGCAATGCAAAGAGTTGCCGCCACTGCACTAAACTGGTCCTTCCGCAGCCGCACGACCTGTGCCGGGCCCGGCCGAGAGCTGTCTGTGTGCACGTGCTCGGAGGGCCGTTAGTGCGATGCGTGTTTCCTCGCTGTCCCGGGACAGCACAGAGGGCCTCGGAGCAGGGCCCGGCCGACCTTTAACCCTGCCCTTCCGCGGGCCAGAGGCCGGGCAGGCGGGCGTCGGTGCTGTGCTGCCGGCTTACGGCTCTTCTGTTCTCTTTTCTGTCCTGAAGGTGACGGCCTCGCTCTTAGGTTCACCTTCTAAGACCAGCTCACTGCTCATTCTGACAGAGAACGAGAACGAGAAGCGGAAGTGGGTTGGGATTCTGGAAGGCCTGCAGTCCATCCTGCAGAAGAACCGCCTGCGCAACCAGGTGGTGCACGTCCCACAGGAGGCCTACGACAGCTCGCTGCCGCTCGTCAAGGCCGTGCTGGCGGCCGCCGTGCTGGGTGTGTGCACTCCCGGCCCATCCCCGGGCACAGCGGCTGGCCTCACCGGCGTTCCCACGGCTGACGTGCTTTCTGTTCTCGCCCTCTGCCCACAGACAGCGATAGGATCGTGGTCGGCTTGGAAGAAGGGCTGTACGTCATCGAGGTGACGCGTGACGGTGAGTGGCGGCCGTGTCCGCTGTGCGTCAGGCCCGCGGTTAGTGCAGCAGCGTCAGGCGTGGGAACTTGTGCGCGTTGAGACGCTGTCACTGGCCGGGTCCATTGCTCCCATCAGACTTCGTAACGGGAGGGAAGGCCGCAGCCAGACCACTCCGCGGGGCCCTGGGCGTCTGGGACGGGTGGAGGGTGCTGAGCCAGCGCCGGGAGCAGGGTGGGCACCGGTCCCAGCCTCGGCTCACACCCGCCCTCCCGCAGTGATCGTCCGCGTCGCTGACTACAAGAAGGTCTACCAGATCGCGCTCGCCCCCAAGGAGCGGGTGGCCGCGCTCCTGTGCGGCCGGAACCACCACGTCCACCTCTGCCCGTGGTCCGCCTTCGACGGCACAGAGAGCAGCGTGGACGTCAAGCTCCCGGAGACGAAGGGCTGCCAGCTCCTGGCCACGGCAACTCTGAGGAAGGGCGCGGCCACCTGGCTGCTGGTGGCGGTGAAGCGGCTGGTGCTGTGCTACGAGGCCCAGCACAGCCGGCCTTTCCACAGGAAGGTGGCGGAGCTCGCGGCCCCGGGCAGCGTGCAGTGCATGGCCGTGCTCTCCGACAAGCTCTGTGTGGGCTACCCCTCGGGGTTCTCCCTGCTGAGCCTGCAGGGGGACGGGCAGGCGCTGCCGCTGGTCAATGCCCAGGACCCCTCGCTTGCGTTCCTCGCGCAGCAGCCTTTTGACGCCCTGTGTGCTGTGGAGCTCCAGAGCGAGGAGTACCTGCTTTGCTTCAGCCACATGGGGCTGTACGTGGACCCACAAGGCCGGCGGTCGCGCACGCAGGAGCTCATGTGGCCTGCAGTGCCTGTCGCCTGTAGTATGTATATGTTTTCTGTTGCCTATCCCTGTCGCTGCTCTTCACGCCTGTCGGCACGTTCAGTTTTGCTTCAGTTCGTCTCCAGTTCCCCCCTCAGGGAGCCAGGGAGCCAGGGAGCCAGGGAGCTGGGCGGGGCGGGTCCACTCAGCCCGGAGTCATTCAGGAACTCGCAGCAGCGTTAGCACAGCACCTGCCGCAGGGCTCGGCATGGCCAGCAGAGGGCGCTGCCCTGCCTTGGCAGCTGTTCTGGAAAGAGCCAAGTTGTCCAGGGATTGAGGTGGCCTCCTGTGTGAGGGGCTCCGTGGGGCTCCTGCCCAGCCCACCATCTGAGCTTGTACAGGACCCTAACCCTCATGCCTACCACTGGTGGGCATGCGGGAACCCAGGGGGGATGGGACGGTTTAGGGCAGCAGAAGTGGGGTTACAGGTGGTGGGGTTACAGGTGGTGGGCGGGCCCGTTTTCCCTCAGTTGCCTGCAAGTACATCCTTTGTCCGCCTCGTTGCTGGCAGAGAACTGGGAGTGTTGGACCAGGAGCCGGGCTGTGGGGTGTGCTGCCTCCGTTGGCTCCGGGGGCTCACGTGTGTGTCTAACTCCTTGGCCCTCGGCCATCCTGGGGCAGCGCAGCAGCCAGACCTCTGCTGCCACGCCTGCCCACTCCCTGCCATCCTCATGTCCGCAAAGCCGCCCCGAGGAGCAGCCTCAGAACCACAGGGCCCGCTTGGCGGGCTGGCCGCTAGGAAAGGAGGAAGGACCCAGCCCAGCCCCGGTGTCTCGCCGCGGTGGCCACGCTGAGCCTGGCGCTCGGCTCTGCTGCGCCTCGTGGTCTGTCTCCGCCCTCTGCACAGCGCAGGCGCGCAGTCAGGTGGGGCTGGAGCACTAGCCCCGCCCACTCCGCCTCCCGGCCGTGCAGAGCGTGCCGGTCCGGCTGCGGGCTGGCCAGGGGAGGGGCCGCGGGAGCCCGCGCAGTCGGTCAGACCACAGCCGTGCTCTGCCCGTTGAGATGGACGTGAGGTCACGTTGTTGGCCGGACACCTCGGTGCCACGCCTCGTCCTGCACAGATCTGGCTCCTGCGGGGACCCCACGGGGTCAGGGAGGGGCTGCCAGGAGCCAGGCGGACGGTCCTCTGCCCGGCCTCCTGCCTGCGGCGACCCAGCTGACTCTGTGGGGTCGAGAAGGTGGTCGTGCCGCCCACTCGGAGCCGCAGCAGCTTAAAGCCCCTGCTGTCGGCAGCGCCCATGAGGCTGGGCGGGAGCCGGGCGCCGGGCCTGCCTGCCCCTGGGTGAGGCCGCCCACCTGACGGGCAGTGTTCAGCGGGAGGAGCGACAGGCACCACTGCCTGGAAGCCCCACCACTTCGCACCCACAGGCCTTGCTCATGCCTTTGGGACGACGGGTGGCTCAGAGGGAGCAGGGAAAGGGCCGTTGCAGGAGACGTAGTTCGGAGTCAAAGCAGAGGGCAGAGGGGTGCCGCCCCCGGGGACGGACCAGCGCCGCACAGGCCCGTGGCCGGGCTGTGCGTGGCCAGCTCGTCCCCGGCGCCGCAGTGGCTGCCGTGAACGCTGACCCAGAGCCCAGCTCCCCAGAGGAGCTCGCTGTGGGCAGCCCTCGGCCTCCCTGACCGGGCGTGTGCAGCCTCGGTCCACTCAGGGCTGCAAGGACGCAGGCCGGAGCTCTGCGTGCGCGCTGCCGCTTCCCCGCTCCTCGGCCGGAGCGCGGGGACCACGCACACCTGGCTCTGCAGGGCGTGGTCGGGGGCCGTGGCGGCCTCCACCTGGGCAGCCGCCTGGCCCTCGGCACCTCTTGGAGGCCGGGGGTGTCCGGGCCGCGCCGCTCCTCACCGCGCTCTGTCCGCGCAGGCTGCAGCCCCTCGCACGTCACGGTGTACAGCGAGTACGGCGTGGACGTCTTCGACGTGTGCACCATGGAGTGGGTGCAGACCATCGGCCTGCGGAGGGTGAGGCCGGGCGGAGGGGACGGCACGGGTGGCTCCCCTGCTGTGTGTGCAGCTGCTGACCCTCTTGTTCCCGCAGATCAGACCGCTGAACACGGAGGGCACCCTCAACCTGCTCCACTGCGAGCCCCCCCGCCTCATCTACTTCAAGAGCAAGTTCTCTGGTGAGGGAGCCTCCTTCTGTGACCGCTGTCCCCTGTGCTGCCCCCTATCCTGCCCCCCTATCCTGCCCCCCCATCCCGCCCCCCCATCCCGCCCCCCGTCCTGCAGCGGTCTGGGGCCACCGTGACTGCGGTCACCCTCCCTCTGCAGGAACCGTGCTCAATGTGCCCGACACCTCGGACAATAGCCGGAAGCAGATGCTGCGGACCCGGAGCAAGAGGCGGTTCGTCTTCAAGGTGCCGGAGGAGGAGCGGCTGCAGCAGCGGCGGTGAGGGGCCGGCCTGTCGTGGGCAGCCTCGCCGGGGGCGGCCAGGGCGAGCCCGAGGACTGCTCACGGTTGTGAATCCCAAATTCCCTCTCCCCAGGGAGATGCTTAGAGACCCAGAGCTGAGGTCCAAGATGATCTCCAACCCGACCAACTTCAACCACGTGGCCCACATGGGCCCGGGCGACGGCATGCAGGTGCTCATGGACCTGCCGCTGGTGAGTGCCTCCCGGGCGCTCCGTCCCGCCTGCGCAGGGCTCCGCCTGCCGCCTGCCTTCCGCTGCAGCCCTGGCCGGGCCCTGGATTTGCTCGGTGACTGTCCGTGTTTCGGACGGAACTAGCTGTCACAGTGGTTTCCACATAGCACCTCGGGGCGACAGTAATGCTTCCCCTTCGCTCTAAAAGACGGCTTCCTGTCGGAGCCGGCACGGCCTTAGCTGATGTCCCTGCGAGCCTTCCCGTTCCCCTCCTCGGGGGCCGGCCCAGTGCTCAGCGGCCACCGTGCTCACTGCTGCCTTCTCCCCAGAGCGCCGTGCCCCCGGCCCAGGAGGAGAGGCCCGGCCCCCCGCCCCCCAGCCTGGCCCGGCAGCCTCCGCCCAAGAGCAAGCCCTACGTCTCATGGCCGACGACAGGTACGGGGCACCCGGGGCGGCCGGGGCGGGCCCCTTTCCCTGAGGTGACACCTCCTTGTGCCCCAGGTGGGTCCGAGCCCGGCATGGCAGCACCTCTGAGGAGCATGTCCGATCCCGACCAGGACTTTGACAAGGAGGTGAGGCACGCCCACGCGGAGCAGAACCGAGCCCCACACGGCTGTCCTCTGTGCAACAGGCTTCTCTCCCCTTGAGCAGCCCCACAGCCCGGGGGTCGTTGGGGGCGGAGGGGGCTGTGTCACTGCCCACAGGAGAAAGAGCAGCCTCTGCTCTCCCAGTTCAGCTGGCACGGACGGTCCTGTCTGACTCAGGCCGCGCCTGGTCTTGGAGAGCCTTCCCTCATGGCTCTCCCCTTTGGCCTCGAGGTCAGAGTTCAGGGTGCACCTGCCGAGTGGATGGGCAGGTTGCGCATATCGAGCCCTTTACCTGCACTGATCCATGGGGAGCTGCCCTGCGCCCTTCGTGTCCGGGCGTCCTCCCGCCCCTCCCCCGGTGCAGGCCAGGGGCCTCCGCACCAGGCTGCCCGCCGTCTGCGCCTCCTGCTGGGCCAGGCCCGCTCCCCACATGGCGGCCAAGAGTTCTCTGGGGCTCCTGGTGGGTGTCTCCATCTCGTCAGGCGGGGCACAGGCTCATAGACATGGTGCCCTCCGCAGCACAGCCCGTTTGTCCTGCTCGGACCTGGTGGTTCTTTTAAGTGAAATCGCAGGAAGGAGTCGCTTTAAAGGAGCTGTTGGTGGCTGCTGAGTAGGTTCGCAGAGCTGTGCAGCCGAGCTCCGACCAGCTCAGACCTTCCCAGCACCTCTCCCCGCCCCGCCCGGCCCGGCCCCGGCCTCCACCTCCGTGGCTGGCCCGTGCTGGGCAGGGCGTGTCGGGTCCCAGCGGCTGTCGTGCCTGCTTCCCTCAGCATCACCTGTCCGGTCTGCGTGCTGCCGCCTGAGCGTCTGCAGGCTGCTCCTTTGAGGCGCGAGATCCCACAGGGTGAGGCGCACGGTGTCCTTGGCCACGGGTGGCTACGTCGGGGTGTTCCCCTCCGGCTGCTGTGAACACGTATGAGCATGTGCTCGTGTGAGTGCTGTCCTCGTTCCTGGGCGTGGAATGCTGGGTCACGCGAGGACGGTGGCAATAGCAGCCGCCTCGTTTCCCTTCCAGCCGCAGGGCGTGTGCAGGGCTTTGCCCCTTACCCAGGCCGCCTGGCCTCCGCCCTCGGCCGTCCAGCAGGGTAACCATGCGTGCGTTTCTCAGGGGGCCTGGTGTCAGCCGTTTGTGCTTCTGGAGCAACGTCTTCAGTCCTTCCGTTCTCCACGGCAGCACGTCTTTGTCGTTGGGCTGCGGGTTGTTTATATTCTGGACACCTGGCCCCTCGGTGTGCGGCTTGAGATGTTTCCCCCGTCCTGTGCGTGGCTCTCGCCCTCTTAGTCATACCCGCGTTTCCAGTTTTGGTGGAGACCAGTTTCTTCTGTGCTTTTGCTTCCGCTGTCATAGCTAAGAACCCCTGCCAGCCCGTGGCCCTGAGCACTCACCGTTTCCCCTTGGTGGTGTGGGTTGGCCTGTGTCAGCGCATGCATCCCCCGGCGCTCACACGCATCTCCCCCCCGCCCCCGTGCTCACATGCGTCCCCCCCAGGCGCTCACACGCTTCCCCCCCCACGCTCACACGCATGTGTGTGTGTCCGTCCCCCCCCCCCCCCCCGGCGCTCACACGCCTTCCCCCGTGCTCACACACAGCCCCTGGTGCTCACACGGGTCCCCCAGCGCTCACACGGGTCCCCCGGGGCTCACGCCTTCCTCGGGGCTCACATGGGTTCCTGGCAGCAGGAGGCAGAGGCCAGCTTCATTCCTGGGGCACACCGAGTGTGGGAGCAGCTGCTCTTCCCCGTTGTGGGCGCCCTGGTCAGAGGCCCTGACGCTGGTGAGGTCCGTGTCTGGACTCTCGGCTGCTCCTGGCCCGTATGACCGCACACCATTGTGATTCGTTGCTTTTGAGACAGTAAGTTTGGGAAGAGAGTTCTCCAGCCTTTTCTTGTTCAGTCTGGTTTGACTATTTGGGGCCTCAGGAGCGTGAGAATTGGCTTTCCCATTGCGGGGAGAAGGCCAGTGGGACCCTCGTGGGGATTGAACAGAGTCTGTAGCCACTCGAGGGAGTTGCTGTTTTAACATTTAGTCTCCGGCCGCGGCCGCGTTTTCTGGTTTCCGGGACCGGCCCTCTGGCCCCTGTGAAGTGACCGAGCACCTTGGTCCCAGGAAGCTGTTGTAAATGAATGTTTTCCGATTGCCGTCTCCGTTGCCGTGCGGGTGGAGGAGCACGGTGCTTGTGGCGTGTGCTCGTGTTTGCTGTGCCCAGACTGTGCCCCTGGGGCAGGCAGCTCCTCCCTCTCCCCCCGGCGCCTTCTCTCCTGCCTCAGCGCTCTGGCTGCCGCCTTCATCTCAGGGAGAGGGAGCCCCTCCGCCCAGGGAAAGACCTCTCTTCCCGGTGCGTTTAGCACGAAAGAGGGGAACGTCTGGGACTGGACCCCGGCCGCAGTGTCAGGTCTCACTGTGGGGCGCACCCCTTTGCAGCCTCATTGCTGTCACTGTGGGCCGGGCGTGGGGCTGAGCTCACAAGAGATTAGGTCCAGCCTGTGCTCATCAAGGAAAGGAGAGGGCAGGTGCCACCCCGCCCCCATTGCATAAACCCCATCGGGCTGGGCCCCGCTGCACAGACCCCATTGGGCCGGGCCCCGCTGCACAGACCCCATCGGGCCGGCTCCCCATTGCACAGACCCCATCGGGCCGGCTCCCCATTGCACAGACCCCATCGGGCCGGCTCCCCACTGCACAGGCCCCATCGGGCCGGCTCCCCATTGCACAGACCCCATTGGGCCGGGCCCCATTGCACAGACCCCATCGGGCCGGCTCCCCATTGCACAGACCCCATCGGGCCGGCTCCCCACTGCACAGGCCCCATCGGGCCGGGCCCTGCTGCACAGACCCCATTGGGCCGGCTCCCCATTGCACAGACCCCATTGGGCCGGCTCCCCATTGCACAGACCCCATCGGGCCGGCTCCCCATTGCACAGACCCCATCGGGCCGGCTCCCCACTGCACAGGCCCCATCGGGCCGGCTCCCCATTGCACAGACCCCATCGGGCCGGCTCCCCGCTGCACAGACCCCATTGGGCCGGCTCCCCGCTGCACAGACCCCATCGGGCCGGCTCCCCATTGCACAGACCCCATTGGGCCGGCTCCCCATTGCACAGACCCCATCGGGCCGGCTCCCCATTGCACAGACCCCATTGGGCCGGGCCCCGCTGCACAGACCCCATTGGGCCGGCTCCCCATTGCACAGACCCCATTGGGCCGGGCCCCGCTGCACAGACCCCATTGGGCCGGGCCCCGCTGCACAGACCGCATTGGGCCGGCTCCCCACTGCACAGACCGCATTGGGCCGGCTCCCCATTGCACAGACCCCATCGGGCCGGCTCCCCATTGCACAGATCCCATTGGGCCAGGCCCTGCTGCACAGACCCCATCAGGCCGGGCCCCACTGCACAGACCCCATCGGGCCGGCTCCCCATTGCACAGACTCCATTGGGCCGGCTCCCCATTGCACAGACCCCATCGGGCCGGCTCCCCATTGCACAGACTCCATTGGGCCGGCTCCCCACTGCACAGACCCCATCGGGCCGGCTCCCCATTGCACAGACTCCATTGGGCCGGCTCCCCATTGCACAGACCTGGCGATGTCTCTCACCTTGTCCCTTTGTGTTAACAGCCGGATTCCGATTCCACCAAACACTCAACTCCTTCCAACAGCTCCAACCCCAGCGGCCCGCCGAGCCCCACCTCCCCCCACAGGAGCCAGCTCCCCCTCGAGGGCCCGGAGCCGCCGGCCTACGATGCCTGAAGCCACCGGCCGCCACCTCGTCTCCACAGGCCCCGGAGCCGCGTGGCCCCAGCGCCAGTGCCAAGACCGAGCTGACCTAGTGTTGTCCACGGAAACGGAATGACGTGTAGATAAGGAGACGCAGAAACTCTATTGTAACGTGATTGTTCACGCCTCTCCCTCAGCCGCGCCTGACCCTTGGTCCGCACCGATGGATGGGAAGGCGCTGGCCCGCACGACGCTCAGACCCCACCCTGGCGCTCCGCCCGGGAGGCAGGCCGCTGGGTCGGACCGCCCGCTCCCAGAGCCGCCCTGGAGGAGGAGGCAGGAAGCCTGCCGTCCAGTGTCTGGTCCCGAGGACAGGAGCGCGGGCCGGCCGGTGCCGTTCACTAGCCGCGCGTCCTCCGCTGCGGAAGTCCTGCTGACCTTGGAGCTTGGCACAGGCCTGTGCGCGGCCCTCCCGGTCACAACCACACGTCACCAGTACCTACTACTGTGAAGTCGGCTGTGCTGCTTCCCTCGCTTCCCAGCTCCACCTCCACGGCGGCTGTCCTGGTGCCGCCAGGCCCCGCCCCCGCCCGGCCCACACGGAGCCGGGCCAGCACCGAGGGCCCTCGGGCCGGGCACCCTGCACATCGCCCCCAGCCTTTCTCGCTCAGCTCCCTGTGTGGCGTGAGGAGCCAGGCCCGAGGCCGCCGGGAGAGCCGAGGCCCTGGCCAGCGCTCCGCGTCTCACCAGACGGCTGCTCTCCGCTGCCCCGGGTGCTGAAGGCGAGCACTTCCGGGCGCAGTGCGCGGCCCCAGTGGCTGCCCACCACGCCCCCACCCCCACCCCGGGCCTGTGCTGGGCTGGCACCTGCTGGGGTTCTGGTTTTTACTTTTGTAATGTAAGTCGGAGTCTTTGTAATTATTGAATCACCGTGAGGACATTTTGAACAATTTATCTGTCAATAAAGCAGAAGATGGCAGTTTTAAAGTTCCCCGGTTTGTCTGAGTGTCGGGGCGCCCCCAGGTGCTGGGTGCTGGGAAGGCGCCCTGTCACTCCCGTGCTGGGGGCAGGGCTGGCCGGAAGGGACCTCACCTGCCGGTACCTCCAGGGCAGCAGAGCCTGGCCCCTCGATGCTGGGGGCAGGCTGGGGCGGTGACCACGTGGGCTCTGGCCCTGGAGGGCCCGTTTCCCCAGGTTGGGGGGGTGCCCTGCGGAGCCCCCGGGAGTTGGGTGACAGGGTGGTGACAGGAGCTGCCAGAGGTGATGCCAAGCCAGCCAGCACCGCAGCCTAGAGCTCGGTCTCGTCCCCCGAGAGGCACCCTCCGGTGTGTCAGCACCCAGGCCAGAGCGCCGTGGGGTCTCGGTCACAGCGGGGAAGGACCGGGAGAAGCTGTAGGAGCTCTGGCTGCAGTTCTGCCCACGGGGTCCACACCGTCGGCTCCCACGTATGGGCAGTCAGTCACATGGCCTGCCCTCCCGGGAGCAGGCTGCAGTCCTCCCAGCCTGGTGCAAGCAGCTGGGAGTGAGCCCTGCCAGGAGGGTGAGGGTGAGGGTGAGGGTGAGGGTGAGATCTGGGTGTCAGGGTTAGGGTTGGACCTGAGGTAGGGTTGTGGCCAGGGTTAGGAATATAAGTAATATGGGTTAAGGTTGGGAATATGGTTACGGTTGGAACTCTGTTGGGGTTAGTGTTAGGGGTAGGGTTGGAGCTGTGTTAGGGATACAGTAGGGTTGGACTTGATAGTAGGAGTGAGGTTAGAGTTAGGGTTTAGGGATAGGGTTGGACCTGGGTTAGTGGTACAGTTGGTTAGGTTTAGGGTTAGGAATATGGTTATAGTTGGATCTGGGTTAATTCAGTTAGGGTTGGACCTGGGGTTGTATTAGAGTTAGGGTTTGGATTAGGGTTAGGGTTAGGAATGTACTTGGATTAGGGTTAGGGTTTGACCTGGGTAAGGGATACAGTTAGGGTTAGAGTAGAACCTGGGTTAGGTTTATGGTTAGACCTGGGTTAGGGTTAGGATTAGGGTTGGATCTGGGTTAGGGATAGAGTTGGGGTTGGACCTGGGGTAGGGGTAGAGGTAGAGACAGGGTTAGGGTTGGGTTAGATCTTGGCCCTGGTGTGGTGTCTGCCACAGGCGGTCAGGGCACAGGCACGAGTTCGCCATTTAAAGGATGAATGACGGTGTTGCAGCAGGAAGCAGGGAGCTCACGTTGAAGGCAGTGCCATCGTGACCCAGCCCCTGCTGGCAGCGTGGAGCGGGCACAGTCTCGACCCTGTGCCCGGCCGGCACGGCAGGTGGTGTGTGTGGACCAGGTGCTGGGCCCTTGGTGGCCCACGTACACACCAGGCAGCACATGCCTGCTGCTCTGCTCTGGGCAGGTGTCCGCAGAGTGGCCCTGAGTGGGAGGGCAAGGCCTGGCCTGGCAGCGACATTCACCCCACCACTCTCCACCTGGCCCTGCACAGCCACTGGGCAGGACTGGGTCTCAGATGCCCCCTGCCGCTCACCCCGCCTCCCCTCCCCAGGGCCTTGGCACAGGGCAAACGTGCCTACTTCTGGGTGCCACTCAGCCGACAGGCTGCCTCGGCCTGCAGGTGGGCCGCTGCCTAGGCAGTGCCAGGCCGCCTGTGGGGGCTCCGAGGGCCACCCCGGGGGCGCCAGGCCTCCCTCCCTCCGCCTGGCGGGGACGCAGGGACGCGGGCGGAGGCGGGTGCAGGAAAGAAACCCCTTTATTGGACCCCCAGGCTGAGACCCGCACACACACCGGCCAGGGGGCCAGGGGCGCAGGGCGGGAGGAGGGTGGCGGGTCGCGCTGCCCGCCCTCAGGCGTCCGTGTCCGTAGGGGTCTCGTTGAAGAGCGGGTTGACGAAGCAGCTCTGGCTGGCGCTCTCGGCCGCCTTCGGGGCGGGTACCGGGGGCTGCGGGGGCGCAGTCAGGGCGTCGCTGTGGATCCGGCCCCGGGGAGGCCCACCCCCGGCCCCCACCCCCGGCCCCGGCCGCGCACCTGCTCCACGGAGCCGGCCACGTCGAACACCGGGTTGGGGAAGCCCAGCGGCGTCTCGTCGCGCCTCCTCCACCTGCAGGTGCGAACTCTAGAGCGCCGCGTTCCTCAACCCTCTCACCCCTCCCTCCCCCCAGTATCCGAGCCCCGCCCCGCCCCCCGGTACCTGAGCCCCGCCCCCCGGTACCTGAGCCCCGCCCCGCCCCCGGTACCTGAGCCCCGCCCCCTGCGCCTGAGCCCCGCCCCCGGTACCTGAGCCCCGCCCCCGATACCTGAGCCCCGCCCCGCCCCCGGTACCTGAGCCCCGCCCCCCCCCCCCCCCCCCCCCCGGTACCTGAGCCCCGCCCCGCCCCCGGTACCTGAGCCCCGCCCCGCCCCGGTACCTGAGCCCCGCCCCGCCCCCTGCGCCTGAGCCCCGCCCCCGCCCCCTGCGCCTGAGCCCCGCCCCCGGTACCTGAGCCCCGCCCCCTGCGCCTGAGCCCCGCCCCCGGTACCTGAGCCCCGCCCCGCCCCGCCCCGCCCCGCCCCCCGGTACCGGAGCCGCCCCTTGCGGTACAGCCACAGCGCCCCCGCCGGCAGCAGCAGCAGCAGCAGGAACAGCGCGGCTGCCAAGCCGCTCGCGAGCCCCACGCGCGACCCCGGCCGCTGCAAACCGTCCTCGACGGGCGCGCCGGACTCCCGGAAGGCGGCCGCCAGGATCCCGAGGGCCTGCCCTGCGGAGAGGCGCTCAGCCTGCGGCCGGGGCGGCCGGGGCGGGCGCGGGAGGGGCGGGCGGCCGCGCTCACCGTGCTCCGCCGCGTCCGCCAGGAGGGCGCGGGCCAGCCGCCCCGCGCCGCCCGCCGGGGGCCCGCGCTCCGCCAGCACCACCTGGATCTCCGCGTCCGCCTCCGCGTCCGCCTCCGCGCCCCGGGCCTCGCGGGAAGGGAGCGGGCGCGGCACCTTGGACACGGCCGCCTGCAGCGCCTGGAACTGGGGCTGGGGGGGCGCGGGTTGGCCCGGGAGCTGCGCCCGGGGCTGCGGGGACGGGGGTGGGGGGGCGGAGGCAAATGGCGCCCCAGGAGGCGGAGCGGCCCCGGTCCCCACAGAGGAGTTGGGGGGCGCCCATTACCTGGCTCAGGAAGTCGCGCAGCAGCCGCGCCCGGTACCGCGCCAGGTCGAAGGCAGGCCCGTGGGTCAGCGACACGACGGCGCCTGCACCGGCGGAGGGTCAGGCTCCCGGGACCCCCGCCCTGCCCCCCCCGGCCCGCCGCAGGGCGGCGCTCACCGCAGAGGCCGCAGCACTGCCCCGCGGGCCGCAGCGCGTCCTGGCAGGCCGCCCGGGGGCAGCGGCCGCCCGCCGGCCCGAGCAGCGCCGCGCACACCCGCGCCTGCACCTGCGGGGAGGCCAGCTCAGCGCGGGGCGGGGGCCCGGGCCGGCCAGCCGCACCGGGCGCCCCCCTCCGCCCGCCGCCCTCCCCTCCCCTGCCCGGCCCTCACCATCCCCCCACCATGCCCCTCACCGTCCCCTCCCCATGCCCTCAACCCCTCACCATGCCCTCATTATGCTCTCCACCCCCTCCCCATCCCCTCACCCCATCCCCATCCCCCTCTCCATGCCCTCCCCATCCCCTCCCCACCCCCTGCCCACCCCCTCCCCACCCCCTCCCCATGCCCCTCTCCATGCCCTCCCCTCCCCTCCCTTCCGCTCCCCTCCCCGCCCCGCCCCTCCCCTCCGCTCCCCTCCCCTCCCCTCCCCTCCTCTCCCCTCCCCTCCCCGCCCATCCCCTCCACTCTGCTCCTCTCCCCTCCCTCCCCTCCTCTCCCCGCCCATCCCCTCTCCTCCCTCCCCTCCTCTCACCTCCCTCTCCCCTCCCTTCCCCTCCTCTCCCCGCCCATCCTCTCACTTTCCTCTCACCTCCCCTCCCCTCCTCTCACCTCCCCTCCCCTCCTCTCCCCGCCCATCCTCTCACTTTCTTCTCACCTCCCCTCCCCTCCTCTCCCCTCCCCTCCTCTCCCCTCCCCGCCCCGCCCCGCCCCGCCCCTCACCTCCTCGTTGCCGCAGACGCAGCCAGATGGGGCGGCGCAGGCCCCGGGGCGCACGCTCAGCGCGCCCGGCCCGTGGAAGCGCAGGCGGCCGGCGCGGGACGCCAGGAAGGCGGCCAGGTCCTCGTCGCGCGTGAACTCCTGCGGGCGGTCCCAGCGGCTGAGCGCGGGGGGCGCGGCCGCCCCGGGAGCCCACCCGCCCGAGGCGCTCACCTGGCCCAGAGCCTGGACGCTGGCCACGCGCAGGGCGCCGGGGCCCAGGCCCACGCGGAAGGCGGCCGCGGGGAAGACCACGGCGTCGTGGCGGCAGGGCACGCGCTCCGCGTCCAGCGGGAAGAGGCCGCGCGCCGCGTCCCCCGCGCGCCACAGGCGCGGGTCCAGCCACGAGAAGCGGTCCGGGTCCAGGAAGCGCGCGGGGCCTGCGGAGGCCGAGGCCGGAGATGCGCGGGGGACGCCCCGTCAGGCCCCGAGGCCCCAGCCGGACCCCCCCCCCCCATCAGACCCGCCCCGCTCCCTCTGCGGCCTCACCGGAGCCGCAGTCCGGGTCCGAGCCAGGGTCCGCGGCGCTGAACCCCGCCCCCGAGGCCAGGACGAGCTCCCCGTCCAGAGGCAGGAGCTGCGAGAAGCGCAGGAGGGAGGACCCTTGTGGGCGCCCTCCTGCCCCCCACCTCCTACCCTCCCCTGCCCCGTGTCCAAGGTCCAGGAGAGGAGGGCCGGGGGGCAGGCCAGGGGCTCCTCGTCCAGGCTGAGTCCCAGATGCCCGAGGGCGCAGGGCCGCCCAGGAGCCCAGCTACCCTGGGACCTGGGAGCACGGAGTTTGGGGTGACATTAGCCAGGGCCCTGCCTCGCCCGACACCCTGAGGAGCTGTACGGACAAGCCAAGGGCTCACGGGTCCGAGACCCACGTGCTGGGAGTCCAAAGGGCCCCTGGACCCTGGGAGGGAGGGAAGGGCCAGGGGAGGCCGCAGAGTCCCCCTGGCTCCCCCTGGCAGCCGCTTCACCGGCCCAGGCCTCAGGGTCAGAGGAAACACTGAGGCGGCGGGAAGGCCAGGAACCCAAGGACTAACAGGCCCGGCCCCCTCCGGAGCCCAGGCCCCTGCCCTGCCCCCCCTCCTGGGTGGGGCTGCCGCCCAGGGCCCAGCCTCCATCCAGCTGGCCGGGCAGGGCATGCTCTCCATCTGTTCCCAGGCTCCCGGGAAGCTGACCCCTGTGGGGGGAGGTCCCAGGCCAACTACCTCCACACCTGAGGGTGCAGCCCCCTGACAGCACGTCACCCGCCCCCGCCCCCTGAGCTGGGCAGGCGGTGTCTTCACTTTGGGAAGAGCCAGAGGGAAAAGCATAGACTGGACGCCATGATACGTGAAAGGCGAGCACACCGGGGAGCTGAGCGTGAGGCCAAGGAACTTTCCAGAAGACAGCAAGGAGAGAACCTGCCGCCAGTCAGCACAGGCTCCCACCCCGGATACCGCCCTGCCTACAGGCCCTCCCCGCGGACTCCCTTCAACTGTGGGGAGGGACGGGGGGAGGATCCAGACCAAAGTGTCAAAGTTCAGATGCCAGGTGCCAGGGAGGAGAGGATATTTGAAGAAACAGGAAGGGGAATTTTCCAGATTTGAAGAAAGAAACCAGACGGAGAGGCCTCATGGAGAGCCTGCGGGAACTAAGGGGAGTCGCACCCCGACACGGGGCAGCGGCCGAGCCCGAAGACAGAGGGCACCCTGGACGCTCCAGAAAGGCCAGGTCACGGGGAGAGAAAAGGATTCAGAAACCAGGTTCTCGGCAACAACAATGGGTTCGAGAAGCCAATGGAACGATGTTTATGTGTCACCAGAGGCTGGTGCATGAGGTTCCTGCAAGCGAGGCCTTTGTTCCCCGCTGCCAGCACCGGCTCCTCTGCACCCCGCAGCCCCGGAGCCCGGCTCGGTCCAATTAGCATATTACCCTTTTATTGGTACAGGTAGGAAAAGAACTTTTCATTAGAATTTCCTATCCAAACTCCCATTCAAATGTGAGAGCATAAGGAACACCCTGGCCTGAAGGACAGCAGCTGCTGCCACGGGGACCTCCCCTGAGGACAGGCCGGGAGGAGAGCGGAGGGGTGGTGAGAGGCTGGTAATGCTTATTCTTACCTTTTTAAGTTGTTTAAAAGCTGGGGCTGGAATGCGATGGGGGAGGGGGAGACCCAGGGACAAGGGGAGGGACGCACAGGCAGGCGCTGGGGAAACCAAAGGAGCCCAGACCTCACTCCAGCTCGATACTGTCCATTTCAGGAAAGTTTAAAACATCAGAACGGCCGAAACCGGTGTGGCTCAGTGGATAGAGCGCCGGCCTGCAGACTGAAAGGTCCCGGGTTCGATTTCGGTCAAGGGCATGTGCCTTGGTTGCGGGCGCATACCCGGTGGGGGGGGGGGGGTGCAAGAGGCAGCTGATCGATGTTTCTAGCTCTCTATCCCTCTCTTCCTCTCTGTAAAAAATCAATAAAATATATATATTTTTAAAAATCAGAACGGACACAACAGCCAACAGAGGGCGTGAACAGGCTGGCAAGCAGGAAAGATGTTAAATGTTGGTCAAAGACCTCCCGTTTCCAAAATACCCGGGCCACATGTTTTCACAGGCAAAGCATACCGAACTCAACGTTTCCCATCACAGACACGGCGTGGAAAGCAGGAGCAGCAGCCAGGAGGAGGGCGTTCAGGCTAAGAGGCACCGGCTCACTGAGACGCGTGTGCTGGGGCCTCAGTGCAGGGCTGGCTGACTGGAGGCAGCCACGTACTCTGGAAACACCTGGCGTTCAGCCCAGCCCGTGTTGCCCAGTGGTTGAGTGTCAACTCATGCGCCAGGAGGTCACGGGTTCGATTCCCCGGTCAGGGCCCGGGCCCAGGTTACAGCCTAGGCCCTCACCAGGGTGTGCAGGAGGCCGCTGATGGGTGTTGATGTTGATCTCTCTTTGATGTGTCTCTCCCTCACCCTCCTCTCTCTCTAAAAATCATTAAAAACATTAAAAAGTACAAATACATGGTGTTCAAAGGGCCCATGGCCTGGGATGCGGGAAGGAGGCCTGGGCTGGCGCTGGCTGGTGTGTGCTGGTGCCAGCAGGTGGCGGGAGAGCCTGTGCCGCACTGTCCGGGGAGGGACACGCCCCGGCCGCTGGGGGCGAGGACAGGCTTGGTGGGTGGCTCGGCCTCAGCGGCCGGACCACAGCAGACAAAGGGGGGGAACCCGCACCTCCCCCGATGCAGGAAACCCCCAAAGAGTCCAACAACCTTCCTTGTGCTTTGAACCCCCCTCCAGGGCGCACAGCGGGCGGCACCCCTGCTTCCCTCTCCTGGAGGCAGCGGGACAGAATCTCTAAGATCCCAGTTTCCGGACCAAACCCACAGCCAGCGGCCGGTAGAAAGGGGCGGGCGAGGCTCCCCCAGGAGAGTCAGGGAGAGGCTCTGGGCCTGAGACACGTTTCCCGGGGGGTGGGCAGGAGGCTGTCCAGCCCCTGACTCTTCCCAGCCCACCGCCCTGCTCCCTCTGCCCCCGCCCATGCCCCGCCCCCATGCCCCCGCCCCGCCCCCACGACCCGCCCCTCACCATCCCCCCCACCATGCCCCTCACCGTCCCCTCCCCATGCCCTCAACCCCTCACCATGCCCTCACCATGCTCTCCACCCCCTCCCCATCCCCTCACCCCCTCCCCATCCCCCTCTCCATGCCCTCCCCACCCCCTGCCCACCCCCTCCCCAACCTCTCCCCATCCCCTCCCCAACCCCTCCCCAAACCCTCTCCATGCCCTCCCCACCCCCTCCCTATCCCCCTCCCCAACCCCTCCCCATCCCCTCTCCACCCCCTCTCCAACCCCTCCCCATCCCCTCCCCAACCCCTCTCCATGCCCTCCCCATCCCCCTCCCCACCTCCTCCCTATCCCCCTCCCCAACCCCTCCCATCCCCAACCCCCTCACCATCCCCCTCACCATCCCCCTCAACATTTCCTCCCCATCCCTCTCCACCCCCTCACCACCCCCTCCCCACCCCCTAAACCCCCATCACCCCCTCACCATGCCCTCACCCCCTCACCACGCCCTCACCCCCTCACCACGCCCTCACCCCCTCACCACGCCCTCACCCCCTCACCACGCCCTCACCCCCTCACCACGCCCTCACCCCCTTCACACGCCATCACCCCCTCACCATGCCCTCACCCCCTCACCATGCTGGAGACGCTGTGAGCCTCTCGCACCAGGACGGACACCATCTGCGGCGGGAGGACCGGCGGCCTCAGCGGGGACCCCGGCCCGGCCCCCCCCCCCCCCCCAAACCCGGCCCGGCCCGCCCACCTGGTCCGCCCCCGGCCCGGCCCGCCCCCCCCCCCCCCCGGCCCGGCCCGCCCACCTGGTCCGCCCCCCGGACCCCGCCCCGGCCCGGCCCCCCCCCCCCCAAACCCGGCCCGGCCCGCCCACCTGGCCCGCCCCCGGCCCACCCCGGCCCGGCCCGGCCCGCCCCCCCCCCCACCCGGCCCGGCCCGCCCACCTGGCCCGCCGGGAACTCCACGGCGGCGCCGGCGCACGGGGTGCGGTTGTGGCTCCAGTTGTCCGCGGCCTCGAAGTCGGTGTTGGGGACCCAGACTTTGCGGGCGGCCCCGGCCAGCGCTGGGGGGGCGGAGGCTGAGTGCCGCGGCCGGGCCGCCGCCGCCCGGGGGGCCCCCGCCCCGAGGAGCGCCCACCGCACCGCACGGCCGCCCCCCGCGCCCGGGCCGCTCCCCGTCCTGCCGGCGGGAGCGGGACCCCGGCCCGGGCGGTGCGGGGCCGGGGCAGCGGGCCCGGAGGGAGGGGAGCGGGGGCGGGACAGGGCAGGGCTGGGGGCGGGGGGGGGCCCGGGGAGTACGGGGTGCGGGGCCGGGAGGGAGGGGAGCGGGGAGCGAGGGGCGGGCCGGGGCAGGGCTGGGGGCGGGGGGGAGGCTGGGGCGAGGGGGGGGCCCGGGGAGTACGGGGTGCGGGGCCGGGAGGGAGGGGAGCGGGGGGCGGGGGGCGGGCCGGGGCAGGGCTGGGGGCGGAGGGGCTGGGGGCCCGGGGAGTACGGGGTGCGGGGCCGGGAGGGAGGGGAGCGGGGGGCGGGCCGGGGCAGGGCTGGGGGCCGGGAGGGAGGGGAGCGGGGCGGCCGGCGGCGGAGGGCAGGGCGGGGCAGGGCCGGGGCGGGGCCCGCGGGGAGGAGGCGGGCAGGTGCGGGCGGGCGGGGGTCGGCGGGCTCCGGGTCCCCGGGGCTGCGGGAGGGCCGGCCGGGCCGCTTACCGCAGAGCCGCAGCCCCAGCAGCAGCCCCAGCAGCAGCCCCATCGCGCCCAGCGCGCCGCCCGGTCTGACCCGGACTTCGCCCCCGGGGCCCACGTGACCGCGGGCGGTTGCACATTCACCCCGGCCGCCCGGGCCGTCCGGGCCCCCCCACGCCTGGTCTCTCCCCCCACATCCCGCCGGGACTCACCCGCCAAGGCGGGGGGAGAATAAAGGCCTTGGGGTCCCCCGCTCTGTCCCGGGTGCGGCCGGGTCAGCACCTAGTACCCCGCCTGGTGGGACTGGGGGTCCGCTCCGCCCTGCGGGCCTCCTGCCTCCGGGCGGGTGGGCTGTGGGTGGAGCTGGTGCGGTGCAGCCTGTGGCCCCTGATGGCTGGCGGCCAGGGCTATGGACCAGGGTGATGGGCGGGAGGCAGGGAGGGAGGGAGTGCAGGAATGAATGTGGGAAGGTGGTGGTTGGTGATGGGGTGGATGTGGGGTGGGAGATGGGGAGGCAGTGATGGAGGGTGGGTAGATGGATGGATGGATGGGTGGGTGGATGGATGGGTGGGTAGATGGATGGGTGGATGGATGGACAGGTGGATGGATGGGTGGATAGGTGGGTGGGTGGGTGGGTGGGTGGATGGATGGGTGGGTGGATGGATGGGTGGGTGGGTGGGTGGAGGGATGGGTGGGTGGGTGGGTGGTTGGGTGGGTGGGTGGGTGGGTGGGTGGGTGGGTTGGTGGGTGGGTGGGTGGGTGGGTGGGTGGGTGGGTGGATGGATGGGTGGGTGGATGGATGGGTGGGTGGGTGGGTGGATGGAGGGATGGGTGGGTGGATTGGTGGTTGGGTGGATGGATGGGTGGGTGGATGGATGTGTGGGTGGGTGGGTGGAGGGATGGGTGGGAGGATTGGTGGTTGGGTGGATTGGTGGTTGGGTGGGTGGGTGGATTGGTGGTTGGGTGGATGGATGGGTGGGTGGATGAATGTGTGGGTGGGTGGGTGGGTGGGTGGAGGGATGGGTGGGTGGATTGGTGGTTGGGTGGATGGATGGGTGGGTGGATGGTTGGGTGGATGGATGGGTGGGTGGATGGATGGGTGGGTGGGTGGGTGGAGGGATGGGTGGGTGGATGGATGGTGGGTGGGTGGGTGGAGGGATGGGTGGGTGGATTGGTGGTTGGGTGGATTGGTGGTTGGGTGGTTGGGTGGATGGATGGGTGGGTGGATGGATGTGTGGGTGGGTGGGTGGATGGGTAGGTGGATGGGTGGGTGAGTGAGTGGGTGGATGGGTGGGGATGGTGGATTGGGTGTGTGGGTGGATTGGTGGTTGGGGTGGATGGATGGGTGGGGAGGGGCTGTGCTGGGTGAGTGGGATGGATGGGTGGGTGAGTGGGTAGTAGATGGGGTGGATGAGGTAGGTCGATGGTGGGTGGTGGGTGGATGGGTGGGTGAGGTGGGTGGGGAATGGTGGATGGGTGGTGGGTGGATGGATGGGTGGGTGGGTGGATTGGTGGTGGGTGGATGGATGGGTGGGTGGAGGGGTGGGTGGGTGGATGGATGTGTGGGTGGGTGGAGGGGTGGGTCGGCGGGATGACTAAGCTGCCCCGGAGAGGTGGATGTGGTCCTGCGTCTGCACCTCTGTGTGGACCGGGTGAGGGCGGGGCTGGTTTGTGGGTGACGGGTGGTGGGTGAGTGAGTGGGTGCAGATTGCACACGCCGCCCGCTGTGACAGCGGCTGGTGGTGAGTACTAGGGGACGGGCTGCCAGTCGGTGGAGAGATGGGTGGGGACGGGTGGATGTGGAGACAGAGGCCTTCCTGCTCAGGCTGTAAGTGGGTGGGTGGGTGGAGGTGGCCGTGATGGAGGCCTCCCTTCCTCCCTGCAGGCCCCTCGCCCTCCTGCAGCCTGGGCCTCACCCCTGCGCTCCCACGTGGGGTGGAGCCGGGCGGGGCACGCACTCGGAGCGGCACCGGCACTCACTCGCCCCTGCACTTTGTCCTGGGACAGGGGGGGTGGGGTGGGGGGACCAGCGGGCGGGGCCCAGTCTGGAGTTAGAGGGGCTCACAGGAAGCTCCATCCTTTGCCTCCACCAGGAACAGGGGGCTGTTTGGGGGTCACCTGTGTTTTGTCCTTTGTCTTACCTCTCCCTGGGAAGGAGATGGTGCTATTGATTGGGACTGTACCCCAATAAACTGCTGTCGCCCCGCCTCCTCCCACCACCCACTTCGGGTGCTCAGGGCAGGGCCTGGAGGCCGGGAACTTCACCCTGGGCCCAGCCCTGCACCCCCCAAATGCCCGCCCTGCAAGGCGGGGGACGGAGTGGAGGACATGGCCCCCTGGAGCTCTGAGGGCTGGGACAGGGGGACCCGGGGACCTGGACTCTGCCCACTCTGGCCCTGGGCAGGCCTCTCCCAGAGAGACCGTGCTGTCTAGAGAGGGCAGGGAGACCAGCTGGGCAGGCACAGGAGGCTTCCTGGAAGAGGCGGCATGTCACCGCCCATGGAGGCGGGCACAGCTGGGGCACAGGTGGAGGGTGGAGGGTGGAAGGAGGTGGAGGCAGGGTCTTGGCAGCAGAGGCTGCAGGGAGGGCCTGATGGAAGGTGGCCCAACATGGAGCCCACGCCAGGCCAGCCGCCAGCCCCGCTGCCCAGGCTGCAGAGGGTCCCCCCAGCGAGCCGATGCGAAGATGTGCGCAACGAACACCTGGCCGGGCGCTCCGTGCCGACCCGCAGATCCACGTGCACACCGCTTCCTCGGGTGGCGTGGGGAACGGCCACGCCCCAAAGAGTTTCTCCCAGTAGCCAGGCCCCAGCAGCTGCTTCAGGCACGGTCGGATCCAGGCTCCTGGGCTGTCTCTGTCTTGCAATCCGGGCTTGACCGCCCTCGTGCTGGTTCCGTGTGCTCAGCCTTCTCCATGGGCAGGGAGGCTGGCCCACTGCCTGGCTGGCCCAGTGCGGGGCGGGGGCGGGGCGGGGGCGGGGGCGGAGCGGGGGGGCTCAGCAAGGTCTGTACCAGCCACGTGGCCCAGGTTGCCGTCCTCTGATTGGCCATCACAGCCCCTCCCCCGGGCCATGGCATCACCCCCTTCCTGCCCTCTCCTTTCTCTGTTCTCCGTCTACGAGGACAGATCGGACCAAGTCAATTCCCCAGCTGTCCCCCCACCGCTGTCCCTGATGGAGTGGCCACACATGGGCCCCCTGGAGAGCCACTGTCCCAAACCCAGTGCCAAGTCCACGGCCCGAAGCCAAGGCCCGAGCTGGTGAGCGGCCGGGAGCCGCAGCTGCTGACTGTCCCGTGGCCTCAGAGCAACCAACCTGGAGGCGCAAGGACAGGGCCAGCTTCCGCCGGGGGCGCGGGAAACCCCGGGACACGGCAGTGGCCCCGGGTGGGCTCCGGCCACCAGGTGTCGCTCGGTGTCCGTCCTGGTGTGGTCAAGGCTGAGTGGGACCCAGGCCTCAGGCCCTGCCCAGGAGGGTGGATGGAACATAAGGGGTGTGTGGGCTTGGGACCCCTCGACAGGATCAGGAGGGTTGTGCCCCTTCTCCGAGCAGCTCCTGGTGGGGTGGCCTCTGGGGCCCTCCATTCCTGGGCCCCCTTCCTGCTGGGGGTGGAGGCTGATGGCCCCTCCCAGGCGAGGCCCCACTTGGGGATGTGGATGAGGGTGAGCAGCTGCAGCGGGGACCCTGGAGGGGCGGGCGGCTCCGGGGGCCTTAGTTCCCGGCTGGGGGCAGCCCCCATACTCGACAATTTGGGAAGCTCGAGACAGATGCAGGCTCCTGCAGGGTCACACACCTGTACACACACACACACACACACACACGTCACCTAGAGAAATGGGACATGGGCTCTGTGGGCGCCGAGCTGGGGTGGGGTGTGTAGGCGCAGAGACAACACTAACCCCCCCTGGAGGTAAGGCTGGGTGCTTTCTAACAGCCACTCGGTCTCAAGGGAAGGCGGGCACTGCCCTCTGCCTGGCAGGAGACTGAGCGGTCTGGACTCCCACAGCTGAGGGCACTGGGGCAGGACCAGACCTGGGCCGCTGGGCCTCGCGAGGGGAGGGGCTGCTTGCTCTGGTCCAGGCACAGGCCTGAGCGCGGCTGCTGGTGCGGGGCCCAGCCCTGGGCTCCAGGTCGGAGCCATCACTTGCACGGACAGCCAGGGGGCAGTCAGGGGCCGCGGGCTACTCAGCCTGCAGGGTCGGGGCAAAGTGAGCACCAGGACCCTGTTCTCAGAAGTTAAGACGCTCCCGGTGGTGACAGGCGGGCCCACGCCCCACAAGCCCCGCCCGGCCCCGCCCGGGGCCGCGCCAGGCGGCCGCTCCGACGCCTGAGACAGGGCGATGGAGAAACGAGTCCTTCGTCAGGTTTATTGTCCTCTAATGACAGGTTAGCATCTCAGGTTTGCATTCTATCCTCGTACAAACGTCAGTTATCAGCATCAGGAACACAAAGACATCGCAAGACCTCCAAACACAAATAAATACTAAATAAAACCACAGCAAGATACAGTGAACAAAACAGAAAACATGATAATGCTATGAGAAAACCAGGCATGGTACGGACTCAGATGGTTATTGCCGAGCGATCATCACACGGCCTTGTTTCTTAGAAGAGCTGGAACACGGACGGAACCACTGGTCGTCACTCTGCGGCCGGGCTGCCTCGGTGAGAGTGGCCTTCTTTGGTGTGTCCGGCGGGAACTGGAGAGGCTCCGCTTCCTCAGAGCGGCTCCCGCAGAGAAGGCGCAGGGAGCCGGGCGGGCCGTTTAAGGGACCGAGTTCTAAGCGCCCGCGGCGGTGGCAGGGGCAGCAGACCGGCGCCCGCCTCAGCGCTGGGCGAGGGCACAGGACATGGACATGCGGCAGCGGAGAATGAAACGCAAGCACAGCTCGGCGCCCAGGCAGCAATGATGCTCCCACGATGTCTCTGGGCCCCGCCCCCCCCATCGGGCCAGCTCCCTGGGGACCAGCAGCGCTGCCTGGACACAGGGGTGACCAGGCCACCTGCCCACACTGGCCTCCTCTGGCCGCCACATCCCCCTTTACAGAAACCACAACTACCAGGCCGGCCGGCGGGAGACAGTGCCGTGGTCATGGCTGAGGAGCTTTGGGGAGCAGACCCACCCCGTCACCAGCGCTCACACATGCAGACGGGGCCCCTGGAGCCCCAGGAGGCCAGTCCAGCCCCAGCAGAGGGCGCTTTGGGGCCAGGCTGGAGTGCCTGCCCCGGGGAGATAGCGGGGGAGCCGGCTGGGCTGTGCCGGCCTCACCCTGTGCTGCAGGACGGGCTGTGGGCCTGACCCCGGGGTGCAAGGGGGGGGTCCTGCCAATCTCCCCACATCCGGACCGACCAGGGATGACCCACCTGGGGGCCCCGCTGTTTAGGGGTCTGTCCAGACCCCCTTTCTTCTGCTGACGATGCCCCTTGGCTACAGGTTGCTGGGCCGGCCGTGGGGGACCCGACATCGCCCAGAAAGAGCGGGCACTGCCTTGGGCCTGGGCCCTGCGCTGTGATGGGAACTCGGGGCAGGAAGGGGTGCGGGGGTCACCGGGCAGGAGGCGCTGCGGCCAAAGCTCCTGCCGTTCCCACGTGGGGCTTGGAGGGGGCCCTGGGGCCGGGCAGCAGCCGCCAGGGTGCCCGATGCCCCTCAGGTCCCGGCAGCGCCCCTCTCCCGTCAGGTCAGAACGCCCCCAGGCTCTGCCGGCAGCGTGGCCCCGGGCACGAGGGCGGCTCAGAAACGCGCCCGACAGCAGCCTGCCGGGCGAGGAGCAGGGCCGCCGAGCGGGGTCTGCGCCTCCAGTGCAGGGAGCGCACCCCTCCTCGTCGCCGGGACAGTGGGGGCCGCGAGGGGCTGGCAGCAGGCGGCTGCCCCATCAGCATACGCAGGGGAGACGGCGCACAGCATGGGCCACGGAGAGCCCTCGCCATGCCGGCCTCTTCCCAGCCACGTCCTCGGGGCTCGGAGGCGGGGGCCATGGTCTCCCCCAGGGCACCCCCCCGGGCGGTGCTTCCCAGCAGCCCATCCATCCCAACAGCTCTCCACGGGGAGGAGGGAAAGGACATTCTTGGTTTTTCTTTTTGGCCGGACCAAAGGTGCTTATTCTAAACTGGTTGGTGAAGTGGAAGCCCAGGAGTCTGCAGGGAACCCCTGACCGGGAGCCGCCGGAGGCCAGGCAGGAAGTCCCTCCTCTGCGGGGCCCAGCCTCGCCTCCCAGCGCCTGGGAGTGGAGGAGGGAGACGAGGCGGAGCGTTTAACTGGGGCCTGGCAGGTGCTGGGAACCCAAGAGGTCACGTACGGACGCCCGGACCGGTGTGCGCGGGAGGGGCTTCCAGCGGCACCGGGAAGGCACACCCAGGCAGCGGCAGCACCAGAGACACGCGGCCCGCCCGGCCCAGCCGCCCGCGCAGCCGTGGGCCGGGCGGCAGGCAGTCTGAGCGCGGCCGTCGGCGGGTCGAGGGGCGGCTTTCGGATGAGCGGCACGCAGGCGGTGGGTCGCGCTGGTGGGGCCTGGGAAGCACCCGTCACGTGTAGCACCCGTCAGTTAGCACCCGTGAGCGTGCTGCATAGCGGAGGGGAGGCAGGGCTCGGCTGCTCATCACAGTTGGACCATTGAGAGAAGGTAAACAGTGAGTCGAGAAAATGCCGGTGGGGCGGGCGCAGGCCGGGCCCAGGGCCCCCAGGCCACCCTCCCGCAGGCAGTGGTCCCGGAGGCCAGGGGTCGGCCTGGCAGGCCCCAGAACGGTGGTCTCTGGAATGCTCGAGGGCTCACCTTTGGGCCGGGAGACTTGGGGTCTGTGACAATCAGGGGTGACTGAGCAGGGGGGCCCAGAGCCGGTCACTCCCTAGAATCACAGAGCACACAGAGCCTGGGTGGGGAAGCAGCGTGCACGGTAAGGCACAGGTACAGTATGCCACCACCTCTACGCAAAGATGTCACTTCGGAGGCCGGGACAGACGCAGCGGAATGACAATGGAGGGACCCCTGCCTGGCTGCCTTCAGCGCACGTCGCCTGCTCACCCGGTGCTGGACGCCAGGGCGGCGCTGTCGGCGATCAGACCATCGGAACTCGTGGGCACAATGTAAAGCCTGCAGGACTTTGTTCAGAACTCCGAAGTTCAACTAATGCCCTATTTTAGGGTGAAAACAATTATAAATCTGAAATGATGCACAGCATCCATGAGCAATTTCCTTTCGTAATAATTTGAAGTAGTGTCATCGACTACGACAGATATTGAAGGTTTACATTTCTAACGAGAAATAACACAGATTGAATATTCTCTTCCTATCACAAGTGATAACCAGTGTTGGATAGTTTACATTTTCTTCCAAGAAATATAAGTCTATCAACATCAATAAAATAAAATGTCTGCAGTAACCATTATCTTAGAGCTTTAAATTAAAAAATGATTCTGAATTTAGAGACTTCCAGACAAGACCGAGGTGGCTTCAGGGTCTTCTGAAAACAAATCAGTAAAACAGAGACCAGTGAGGCCTGAAAAATGGACAATATGCTGTATTTGAAACAAGATTGCACTCTTGAGGTTTAGAACGAATATATCAGAACTGCATTATTATTTCATAAACTCTTCTTTTACTTAACATGCTGACATGTCCAGCTAGCCCCAGGCGTGTATGCATGTGGTGGGTGTGTCTTTGTGTGTTCACGTTTCAGGAAGAAAACGTTTCTTAGCCTATATGTTTTCCGCCTTAATGAATGAGACCTTTGAAAATGGAAGTGGAGCCTTCTCCGACAGCAGTGCTGCTCGCTGCAGGATGAGAATGCTTCGGTGAAGCGGTCTAGTCTACAGAGAGCGTCCCGCCGGCTCCTCCGCCGGCCGCAGCCGCTCCTGCGCTTCCTGCTCCACCGGGTCCTCACCGAGCCTCAGCCAGGACCCCGGTGGAGACAGCGGTTCCAACCCCGAGGAGATGCCTTCTGCTCACCCCGCGCGCGGCCGTCAGGGGTCAGGCAGGTCCGAAGTATCCACTATGACTTTGATAAAGATGGTGTCGTCTTTGATATACGTCCCGTTCTCCAGCACAGTCTGCGCCACGAACACCGGGCAGCCCGAGGCGATGTTCATCTCCCCGGTGGGCTTCTTGAAGCTGCTGCTGTTGGGGTCCGGCTTGAACGCGTCCCCCAGGTGGCGCCGCGAGGAGCCCTGGTCCATGAGCATGAGCGTCACCTTCTGCTTGAAGGGCCAGGGCAGCAGCGCGTCGTACTCGCCGCGCATGATGACGAAGAAGAGCGACAGGTGCGTGCCCTTGCCCATGCCGTCGCCGTTCAGGTAGACCCGGGCGCACATCTTGTAGCCGAAGTAGCCGGTGTAGAAGGGCTGGCTGTACAGGGACAGCGTCTTGCCCATGACCGCCTCCTGCTTCCGCCGCTTGTAGTCGCGGATCTTCCAGATGAGCACGCCGTTGTAGCTGGCCGTCTCCAGCACCTGGAAGCGCAGGTCCATGTCGGCCAGGCGGATGTCGTGGACGCTCAGCATCTGGTCGTGCCGGCTCAGCTGGGACTCCAGCAGGCCTGGCGGCGGACAGGGCGGACAGAGCGTGAGGCCGTCAGCGTCAGGAAGGGAGAGGCCGACCCTCACCAGTGTCTGCCCTAAACGCGGAGCACCGCCGAGGTCCTGGCGGGCGGAGGACCGGCGCCGCACAGCGGTCCCGACCCAGGCTGGACCCCACGCACCCACGGGCACCGCCTGGGTCCCGGGGCCCCTCCGCAGCACCCGCGACAGGGAGCTGCTGGGAGGCTCGGGAGCGTCTGCGCCGAGTTCCGGTGGCTTCTCTCCCACCGCATGGCCCCGGGCAGCTTAGTCCAACCTCACGCTCCTCTCTCCACCGGTCATTTCCCACCAACACTCCGAACGCCCATCCAGGCCCCAGAGCTCTGACATGTGGGCCTCACCCCCTTCGCCCCCCCTCGCCTGCCGTCACCTCCTGCTCCAGGGGTGTCATGAGCACCTGCCCGCTGGCCCTGCCCTCCCCCGGGCACCTGCCCGCTGGCCCTGCCCTCCCCCGGGCACCTGCCCGCTGGCCCTGCCCTCCCCCGGGCACCTGCCCGCTGGCCCTGCCCTCGCCTGGAGGGGACGAGTCTGCGGGACCCATTTCTTTCAGCCAAAGGCACCTCAGCAGGCCTGCTGCCTGGCACCGGCTGCACCGTAACCGGGGCGTCCTGGGCCCACGTGACGGGACCGCCTACCCCTCACGTGAGCCACTAGGCTTACCAGGGCGGCAGGAGTCTGCGAAGGGTGCCGCCCCGGTCCCTCAGACACGCCCGCCCGCCCGCCCGCCCGCCGGCCGGCTCACCGGTGTTGCGGGCCGCCTGCCCCGAGCTTTTGTCCACGCTCTCCAGCTCGGTCACCCGGTTCTGCAGGGACTCCACGCTGCTCTTCATGCTGTCCGCTTCCTCCCAGTTCTGCCGGAAGGGGCGGATCTCCTTGTCCAGCTCTTTCAGTTTCTCTGCTTGGCTGTCGATTACTCGCTTCCAAACCAAAAGCATCAAGAGGCAAACACGGTTAGCACTCTCTGGGAACGCTCTGGAGCCATCAGCGGGGCCAACGTGGCCTCCCCCCGGCTGCCTGGGCCCAGGGCTGGGGTAATGGAGGCGGGTGTGTGTGTGTGTGTGTGTGTGCGCGCGCGCGCGCGCGCGCGTGCTCCCTGCTCAGCGCCCATGCCCTCCAGGGCACAGACACCACACTGCTGGTCCGCACACACTACCGACGCGAGGCCTGACTTTATGCTGTTTTAACTTAAACATTGTTTTTATTGATTTCAGAGAAGGGAGAGAGAGAGAGAAACATCAAGGATGAGAGAGTCATTGATCGGCTGCCTCCTGCACCCCCCATTGGGGATCAAGCCCACAACCTGGGCCTGTGCCGGAGTGGGAACTGCACCGTGACTCCTGGTCCGGAGGCCAATGCTCACCCACGGAGCCCGGTGGCCGGCTCTGCTGTTTTAGATGTTTTAATTCAGAGGATCCAGAAGCCCTTTCCTCCCAGAAGCACAGACATTCACATCCCTGCGGGACTGAAGAGCGAGACCGCCGCCAGCTAAAGGACTGGCCTGCCACTGCCGGGCCAGGCCGGGGCCTAGAGTTTTCACTGCTAAAAAGAATTTGCATCCTGAGACACAGCTCCTGGAGGCTGGGCAATGTGCCCCATTAAACTGGGCGGGGGGGCAGGGGCCAAGTTCACTTCCCCTTTTGAGAGCCTATTTTTAAACACTGAGTTTCAGCACCTTTGGGGCTGGTACTAACCCTGAAGGGACAAACATGGCTTACTTCTTTGGGGTAAAAGCAGTGCTGTTCTCCCTCTTCTTCCCAGGAAGGCTGGGAGGGGCTGGTGTTAAAAGGAAAGATGGTCCCGCCAGAGGACACCTCTCCCATGCGGGCCCGTGTTCCACTCTGAGGCGGTGTCTGGGGTGCGTTTCGGGCACAGCCCCCCTCACACTACGAGCATCACACCCGGTGCCTCACGGCTTGCGCTCTCCCTGCCGGGTGACGGCTGCTCCCAGGGCTGCCCAGCCCTGCCCTGGTGGCCGAGGAGCGGAGCGGCCCGGACACGCCCACATGCGTGACTCGTGGAGCCTCCTGCACACCCCCCCCCCCCTGCCCCGGGAGGTGCCTGGGACAGCAGCCTGCGGGCACGTGGCACAAGGACAGGCTGTGGTGTCTGACAATGAGCTCCCGGTCGGACAGCCAGGCCCCGGCTCCGGAACACGGGCCTGCTCACAGCGAGCTCAGCCCAGTTCTGCGTGAGGAGTGCCACACAGCGGCAACGGCCTCTCATGGCTGCTGTACGCACAGCACCGCCTGAAGCAGGGCCGGTCCAGGCCGCGCTTTCTCGGGAAAGCCAGCAGGCGGCTCCTTCGGCTGCGTGTTTCCCTGAGGAAACCCTCGGGGCGGCCGGGGCGGATGACGCGCCGCACACCGCGGGGTAAGGAGCGAGGGCTGCTGCGGCACACCGGCTCCCGGCCCCGCCACTGCCAGAGCCGTGGTCCTCCCAGGCGCTTCCCATGAAGGAAAAGGCCCCGTAGAAGCCCCTGCCGGCCTGACGGCTCCCGTCCGGGGAGCCCCTGCTCAGATGCCCGTGCCTTCGGCTCAGGGCCCCGGGGGCGGAGCGGGAAGGGGACCACACGGACCGCGACACCCGCCATCGCGGGACTGGGCCCGAGGCGGGGGCTGCGGGGCAGTGGAAGGGTGGGGCCGGCAGGCTTCCTGGAGGAGGTGGCACTGACACCTGGCCACCGAGGTGTCTGACAGCAGCCTGTCAGGAAAGGTGGGCGGGCAGCGACCCATGTCTGCTGGGGACACGTGGCCGGCCATTGAGCATCTCTGGCCACAGCACAGCGCGTAAGGCACACTTCTTGGGGCGGCTGGGAGGGGGCTGGCTGAGGAAGGAAGTAGCGGCAGGTGCGGGCGGCGCCGGGCTCGGCTCGAGGGGCCTGCAGGACGGACAGGAAGCGCCGGCTGACAGGCACGTCTGGCGCACCCCGGGGCTCAGAGGACCCACGTCTGCTGAGCCGGACAGGACCCCTCTCCCTCCGGGCACCCCCTCCGCTGGGTTCCCGGTGGACCGCTGGGAGCCCCGTGCGGACACAGCCTGTCCCCGCCCTCCGGAGGACACCACTGAGCCACCCTCCCTCCGGTCACTGCGCGGCCGCCGCTGTGCGCCGCACCTCGCCCCGCAGGGGTCCGCCTGGCTTAGAGCGCGGGCTTATGGATCGCAGCAGTTTTAAAATGTAACGCACAGTGGGACGATTAAGCTCTACAGAAAAGGACGTTAAGTTCCAGCTTTTCTCACCGGAAGAGGAGGAAGCGAATGCAGAGGACCTGGAGGTTTCTACGAGGGCGACCATGACCTCATCGTCAGATCCCCACGTCTTGGTTACCCATGAGCCACTCCTGGCACCCTTCCTACGTGGCTGGCATGTTAATGAGTGGTACCTCCTCAGCCTTTCCATGCGCTCCTGAGCCCAGGCCCAATAGAGCAGCTCACCACAATGGCTCGTCCTGAGCCCCAGGCCGGTGAGGTCCCTGGCCAGGTGGGTCAATGGTTAGAGCACTGGTCTGTGCACAGGAGGATCTCCAGTTCCATACCCACGTCAAGGGTATGTACCTAGCTTGCAGGTTGGATCCTCAGGTCAGGGCAAATGCGGGAGACAACCAATCAATGTGTTTCTCTCACATCAATGTTTCTCTCTCTTCCCGCATACCCCCACTTGCACTCTCTAAAAATATCCTTGGGTGAAGATGAAAAAACGACACCAGGGACTTTCCGCAGGGGCTTGTGGTGGTTTACGTGACGCAGTACTTTCTGGCTCTTCACTCTAGTAACCTGCACCTTTCCTAACACAGGCCAGCACGTCGGCGCGTCTCTCCCCCCTCTGACAAGCACAGCGCAGTGCGGACAGAGCTGGCGCCGCGGTCCCTGTGCAGCGCTGAGGCGGCGAGAGGCACTCCCCGCGCCCGTGCGGAGCCCGGGCCCCCCGGGCGAGGCCGGGAGACGGCGCTGGGCACCGGAGCGTCTGCCGGGCACTGGTGTCCGTGACGACCCGCTGACGGGCCTGGGAGGCTGAGCAGCAGGCGAGGATCATCACTCTGACCAGGCCCAGCGCTCTGGGCCCACGGGGAAATTCACTTCACTTCACACGTCACCACGATGGACAAGAAAGCCTCAATAGTAAAAAACTAACTGTGTCACCGGCTGGAGTCTGGCCGCAACCCCAGCAGCCAAAGGCACAGAGAGGGATGGTGTTTGCTCTCCGGAGAGGAGGGAGGAGCCTGCCTGGGCCGCTGGCCGGGAGCAAGGGGAGGTGCCTCCCGGGGCAATCCGGAGACCTGTCCTGGGGCCCGCCCCCACCTCCGCCCTCCGCCCTCCGCCCTCCGCCCCCCGCCCCCCGCCCCCCGCCCTCAGCCCGCCGCCCTCCGCCCCCCGCCCCCCACTCTCAGCCCTCCGCCCCCCGCCCCCCACTCTCTGGCCCCTACCCCCCGCCCCCCACTCTCTGCCCTCCGCCCTCCGCCCTCCGCCCCCCCCCCCCCCCGCCCCCCGCTCCACACTCTCCGCCCTCCGTCCCCCCCCCCCCCCCCCGCCCTCCGCCCTCCGCCCCCCGCCCCCCGCCCTCCGCCCTCAGCCCTCCGCCATCTGCCCCCCCCGCCCCTCTCTCCGCCCCCCGCCCCCCGCCCCCGCCCCCCGCCCTCCGCCCTCCGCCCTCCGCCCTCCGCGCCCCGCCATCTGCCCCCCGCCCCCCCCTCCGCCCCCCGCCCTCCGCCCTCTGCCTCCCGCCCTCGCCCAGCCAGGTGAGCCTCTTACCTGTAAGTGCAGTATTTTGGATTCATTATTTCGCAGCATTTCCTTTTGTCTCTCGATTTCAATTTCAAAGCTGCATATCTGGTTGTGTAAACTCTGTATGCTCTTGTTCTTCTCCACACTTTCATTCTGCAGCAAGGACACCTGGAAGGGAGGTCCCCGTAAGCGAACCAATGCGATTCACACGAACAGCAGTCCGCTCCCAGTGCCGGGCCCAGGAGGGATTCCGAGAGACACCCCCCCAGGCCCTCTCCCCTGCCCCCGGGATGTGCACGCGGCTGTGCGGCCCGGCCTCAGAACCAACGAGATGCTCTGAAGCTTTTGCTGAGAATTAATAACAAACCTCTTACCAGAGAGGCTTTCACACTCCGGCCGGAAACACATTCCGACATGCACCCACTCGTCACGCGTGTGTGAGCGCACACGTAAGAGCGGGCATCACAGGACCCTCCCCCACACCAGCCCGCCCTTCCCCCTGTGTCTATGTCACACCCACAGGTGTGGAGGGGGTGGCGGAGCTCCAGGCGGCCTCACAGGAGCTTTCTGTGGCTGGACCGAGTGTGAGGAGCAGCCTCTGCGCCGGGCCCCCTCCATTCCCGCCCAGGGCGGCCAGAGGCTCCAGTGCCCGCCCGCCCGCCCGGGGCCCTGTAAGGAGGCCCGTCACCTCCGGGCCGGTGAGGAGCAAGGCGGGGGGGGGAGGGGGAGGAGCAGGGGCTGGGGGCCCTTGGACGGACAGACCCCGGAGCAGCACCAAGAGCCCACTCCCGGCGCCTGCGCCGACCCAGTGCTCACAGAGGGAGCCCTCCGGGCGGGAGGCCACAGGGTCCCAGCCTGAGCCGCTGGACAGCGCCGCCCCGGTCAGGCAGACAGCGCCGTAACTCCTGCCGCTGGAGAAGCCAGTTCTTCTAGTGGCGAGAGTGCCTTTAAGTGAATGAGAATTGGAGAGACTAAAGCTCTGAGGTCTATGCCTATAATTTTTTTTTTAATTCCTCACCTAAAGGTGTTTTTCCACTGACTTTCAGAGAGTGGAAGAGACAGGGAAAGGCAGAGAGAAACATCGATATCCACTGGTTGCCTCCTGCACGCACCCTGACAGAGCCCGGCAGGAGAGGAGCCTGCAGCAGAGGTACGTGTCCTGGACTGGAATCGCACCCGAGCCGACACTAGCCACTGAACCAAACCGGCCAGGGCAAGACCCTAATTTTTAAAAAGGCAGAAACTGTGCTCGCCTCGGCAGCACATACACTGAAAAGGCAGAAACAGAGTAGTCTTCGAAGAAAGGCTTCTAGGAAAACCACTGAGAACAGAGCGCAGACACCACGGCTGACAGGACACCATGTGTGACTCAGACGTCCACTGCGCGTCCAACGGCCCCCTTCTCGCGTGCGTGTGCCTCTCCAGCGGGCACCTCCGCTGAAGCACGCTGCATTCGGGTACGGGGACATGCAAGCGCCTGGATCTAACTGACACGGCATTCGGGCCTCAGACAGGCTGCCGGCTGCTCGCCCACTCAGGACCTCCGCTGTGCTCTCCGTGCGAGTGCGCTGGCGCCAGTTCTCACTTTGTAATAACCCGCAGCGAGTGGTCCCCGGACAACGCCATCTACTCTCAGAGTTCTCTCCTTCTCCTCGGAAAGAAGGCCTGCCAGGTGGCATGCCATGGACCAGCTCCCAGGAAGGGGCTGCTAACAGCCCAGCCCACACCCAGTCCCTGGAAGGGCAGCAGGGCGAGTCCCTTTGGGGAAGGGGCCTGCTCGGTGCCCCAGCTCCCACAGTGCCACACACTTGTGGTGTGGGGGAGGGTCCTGTGATGCCCGCTCTTATGTGTGCGCTCACACACGCATGACGAGTGGGTGCATGTCGGAATGTGTTTCTGGCCGGACTGTGAAAGCCTCTCTGTGACATGGAGATGCCTTCCCTGTCTGGGGCTGGCACCCGTTCTCTAAGAGCCAGAGGGCAGGATGGGAGCTGTGTGGCCTATGATGTCCCAGCTGCTCCACTTGGCTGCAGCCATAGCCAGTGTGGGAATGAACAAGCCTGGCGCCCAATTTGACTTCATTTACAGGAGAGGAAGGTCTGCATGTGTGGTAGTCCCTGTTCAGAGCAATCTACACTAATAAAAAAGATGCAAATTGACCGTACCTTTGCAACACCCACCAGCCAATCAAGAGTGAATATGCAAATTAACACAACAAAGCTGGCAGGTTAATTTGCATACATGGGCCCTGAGCAACCAAGGGTGGAGTAGGACGCAGGCATTCTGTACCATCCAAGCCACTCCGGGCCTCTGGGCAGTGTGAGAAGGCAGAAAGGTGGCCCCGGGGCCAGAGCAAAGACGGGGCCAGCAGCCAGGGGAAGAAAGGCCTATTCTTGCATGAATCTTCATGCATCGGGCCTCTAGTGCTAAGATAACCACACTTGGTTTTTAAAAAGCTCGGCACATGTGCTTGCAATAAAAAAAGAAAAAAAAAATGCCAACACCTTCATTTATAAAAGACTGTGAGGAGAGGTTACTTGGCCATCTCTGGGCGCTGGTTCACCCTCAAACAGCTAATCCCTGTGACCAAGGTCTCTCCTCGAAGTGGAGGAAACCTCGGAGGAGCAGCAGCGTGCGGTGTCCTACCTTCTTCTCCAGGGAGCTGCTCCACTCCTTCAGCAGATTCACGTGCTGCACCGCGGAGCTGGCCTCGTGTGCCTTGATCTGCTGGTTCGTCCCCTGCAGAACAAAGTGCGGGCATTAGCCCTCGCCTCAGGAGCGCAGAGCCCGGAGACAGCCCGACGGAAGGCAGCCTGAGCGGGAAGGGGAGCCTAGCTCCTGGGGTGTGACTGATTCCGGGCGTGCGGGACGCAGCTCTGCAGTTGTACAGGGACCCAGGCTCACGGCTTCGCTCCTAAGCTGCTCTCACCAAGTGCCTTCTCGGCTGTTTCATACTTACAACGTCAAGAAATTGAATTTCAGACATCATTTCCTTCCTTTAGAAATTTTTTCATTAAAATATAAATGGGTTTGGACAGCTTTGGTTATGGCTAGATATTGATACAGTAATCTAGTGAACATGTAATCAGACTAGGGTTCTGACTAATTCACCAAAACATTAACTCATCATGGCATTCACTGTACTGGGAAATGGAGTGCTCACTGTTCTAAGGCTGCTTAGGAAGTTACATATAAACATAAAATAAACCATCTACAGAGTACATAAGATGCAGACCATCTCAGTAACAAGGTCAGCAAATAGTACTTCCATATTTAAGGAAATAATTGGCATGAAAATATAATTTGTTTTGATACTGGAATATTAAGAAGCCACAGGAAGCATTTTAATGATCTCCAAAACATATACTCTGTACAGAGAATATTCCTATGTATATGTTGACATAAGTGTTGCTATATGTCAACATATACATACACAGACACAGAATGAAAGGTACTACACATGACATCACAGTGGCGACTGGGGCAGAGAGAACCTAAAGTCCTCTTCATGCTCCAGGCTTCACTTCCTGAGAAAATACTAGTACACCAAGGACAACTCGGTACTAACTTCGTAACGATGTGTGGCTCATACATAAAATTAAATAAAATACTTTAATAGTAATAGATATTGTCTTTTCATAGTTTTACTATTAAGATACACATTTCAATAGAAACTCAGTTCAAATTCACTAGCAATCTCAGGTGTTAAAAAAAAACAGCCCGGCCAGTGTGGCTCAGTGATTGAGCACCAACTTATGAACCAGGAGGCCATGTTCAATTCCCGGTCAGGACACAGGCCCGTGTTGCAGGCTTGATCCCCAGTGAGGGGCGTGCAGGAGGCAGCTGATCAACGATTCTCTCACCACTGATATTTCTCTTTCCTTTGCCCTTCCTCTCTGAAATCAATAAAAACATATATATTTATATTATATATACACACACACTTAAAAAAACAAGTCAGAAACAGGTTTGTCATTGCCCAGGTATGGCAATGACGGACATGTCCTTTCCACGCTGCTGTCCCAGGAAGTGTGACTTATATGCAAAATGCACTTATGGATACACGTGTGTGTGGCCCATACCACAGTGCCCCGGTGCGTACACTGCTCACACCAGCCGGCCGCATACTTACTCATACGCGCTACTGCCAACATCGCAGCCCGTCTGGCTGCAAACCACCCGCCACCAGGCTGCGCGACCTTCTCGCTCGCTGGTTTCAGACGGGAGCATCCTGACTTCCTCTTGGCACAGGTGCCGACCTTAGCTCTCAAAACCCCACCGTCACCCGCAACAGGGCGATCCGGTTCCATGCAAAGATGCCAAGCCCACAAGTGGCACGTTACAGTTCATGTAATAACTGGCTCCCATGGCAGAATGTCAGCAACTGGGAAGGACAGATGTCGGATACTGACCTGAAAAACGCAGCCATAGCGCTTAAAACTACAGGTGCTGGGGGCATTGACACACTCTGACAAGTGGGCACTCAACTGCAACGGAAAGAGACGTGAGTTTGGCACGAACGTTCGCATGGAAATGCTCAAACAGGTTAGAGGCACAGGAGCACCCAGGCTGCACCGTCACGGATGGCGGTTACAGCCGCGGGTGCGTCCCACCACGGCTCCCAGACTCCTCGGCAGTGAGCTCACGTATCGTCACGTGTGTACACAGATACACCAATATACGGAAATACGTTCACTGTAGCGTTGCTTAAACTCGAGTTTTCGTTAGGATTGTTGGAAACGTGACTGCCGTCTGCAGTGCCAGAGATAAGAGAGGAAGAAACGTGAACTGAGATGCACATTTAAAGACTGTAAACGAAAACTGCATGAAACACAAAAAAGGAAAGCACCCGGGATGCAGCCGGGCACACGCCTCATGTACACACACGAATGCACTTCCCAAGGAGCCCGCACGCGCTGGCCGGAGTCTGAACTGTCACCTCTGCTGACGGGGGAGGGCCTGGGAGAGGACGGCCATGGAGCTGCAGGCCGGCAACTCGTCCGCACAGACCGCCCACACCTGCGCGGCCCCCGGGCAGGGCGCGCTGGGCGCTGGGCTGACGCTGTGGGAGGACAGCCTCCTTGTGCTGGGAAATGCGTCCTCCCCGGCAAACTCGGGAAGACCTTTATGGGAACAGCGGCACGTGTCTGACGTGGGCCAGGGCCGCACCCCCAGCGCCCGTGGGGGTCCCTCTGCAGGACCAAGCAGGCCCCTCCCTGTAGGCCAGCACTTGGGGCAGAGAGGAAAGTGGCCACAGGACTGCTTTGAGGGCCACCGAGGGGGTGACCGGCGGGACCTGACCGGCCATGGCAAACTTTGCAGGTCTCTGAGCGGGGCAACGCGGGGCAGGCGGCAGCCCAGCACATCGGAGGCTCCTCTGACCCCAGCCTGGAGTCAGGCCTGCCCCGAGGCAGCGCCTAGAAGGTCCACCACAGGCTGGCAGAGCGCAGCCTGGGCAACTTCAACTTGAGAAGGAGCTGCCGGCAGCCGCTGCTGCTGGGGTTGGGGCCTGAGTCTCACGGATGGGCAGGGCGCCGCTGGACATCCAGGCCACACTTCTTCCTAAATGGCCTTATGATGGTCCCTCTGAGCCTCACAGGACTGGAGGCTCTTTGAAACGGAGGCGAGAACAATCTATACGCCAATAACACCTTTCACCGGAAACTCAAGATAAATGCCGGTTTTTTTGAAATAAAAATAACTCACAGACAAAATGGAGGCTGCGTTCGTCCCTAAGTCAGAGAGCCCCGAGTGAGTAAAAATTCAGCGGAGTGTATAAAAGCCTGAAGTCACTTCACAGCACAGACTGGCACGCTCACTCTGACGGCAGCGCCCCGCGGAGTGTGTGCCCGCTGCTCAGAGGGGCACGCTCCGGGCCAGGGCCCCGCCACCCAGGCCTGCCTTCGTCCGCAGTCAGCTTGTGCAGGACGCAACGTGAGTGAGAGCGGCTCTTGGGGTCCTCGCACCCCTCGTCTCCCACTCATGGGGAAGGACTGGAGGCATCCAGCGGTGAATTCCAGCTGGCCAAAGCGGCTGGGGGCTTCTCAGAGCAGAGCTCCCAGGACTAAGGGGACGCCCTCAGTGAGCCCAATGGCAGTCCAGTGGTACCCAAGGGCTCAGGTCAGGACCGGGTGCAGAGACGTGAAGACCTCGGCGTTTCCATGCGAAGACAGACAGCGGGGAAGGCGCCTGCCAGGGCCCCGGAACGCAGCCGCCAGCCGGTGCCCCGCCTCCCACGCCAGCCGCACGGGCACAGCGAGCGCGGCCCAAGAGGCTCGGCAGCGTCTCTGAGGTCACCCTACAGCACTTCCTGCTTCCCTGCTTTAAAGCAGCGTCTCCTGTGCTCGCACTGGCGCAGTCCGTTTTCCCATGGTAACCACACTTCGCCCTGCACGCTCTGCGGCCTTTACCCGCTTGCTTCTGAACCCTGACTCCCAGGAGCAGCGGGAGCTTTCCTATTGTGATCTCAAACCCAGGTCTCCCGAGGGACGGGGAAGGCGTCCACGGCTCCTGTCCTCCCAGGCCCTGGCCAGGCCGCGGCGCCCTTACCTCGCTCCTCAGGAGGGTCTGGACCCTGCACTTGTGCGGGCAGGACACCACCACGCAGGGACAGTCCGTGTCTTCGTGTTTCTGCAGGAGGAAAGCAAGGTGTCGTCAGCTTCGAAACATGGATCGTCCCAGCCCCACGCGGCCCACCGGAGGCCTGGCGCCCGGAGAAGCCCTCACGCTGACGGAGTGTTGGAAGGTGCGGCCCCGTCCGAGCTGCAGCCCTCGGAGCAGTGCGCGCTCCGGGCGGCGCCTGTGCAGCAGCAGAGAGGGCGGTGAGGGCGGGCTGTCGGGGCCGGGTTTCGTCTGGCTTCTCAGTTTGGAGTCTGGAAATGATGCTTCTCAAGTGCCTGAACAGCCAGACCCCGAGTCCCTCAATCACTGCCCTGAAATCTCACTGAGATTGTCTTCAGTGTCTGGGAAAGAGCCCTCCTCTCGGGATGGCACCTCCTCCGGGTGGCACGCAGGGGCCTGAGTGATGGGGACTGACCAGCTCGGTCTGCAGGCACCAGACAGGTGACAGCGCCCGAGAGGGGAGGGGGAACTGTGCTCAGCACGGCGCCAGGGGCCAGGCCGGGACACTCCCAGCTCCTCGTCCCAGCTTCTCTCCGGCCTCCCACAGGCTGCAGAGCTGTGAGGGGGCCTGGCCAGGCGCTGGCTCTGACTGGGCCGGTGTGGGGCGGAGGACAGGGTGGCCATGGGGGTGAGTGAGCGAGCGGGGATGCTCCCCTCCGGGGCCTGGAGCTAGCCCCGCAGTGCGCTTTCCCACGTGCTTTTAAGGCCTGTCTCCAGGGGCCTGCAGCCAGCGGTGACCTTCGGCACACGCTGCTCTGCTGCTGGGCCAGGTCCCAAGGTCCGGGGGCCAGTCCACACTGCTGGAGCTCACTGGAGGGCCCGGGACCGCAGGCCTCCGGAGGCACCGGCTGCGGCTTCCCCCCGCCTGCCCGTGTGCAGCCTCCTGCGTGCCCAGGGAAACCGGACAGGTGCCCCTCCCTGCAGAGGCGGGGTGGCGGGCGCTGTGAAGGAGGAGTCAGCCTGGGCCTCAGAGCTCACCAGGCACTGCTCTGCCTCCTCACCAGCCTGCCCATCCCCTCCTCACGCACAGGCCAGCCAGGAGGAACGCTGGGGTGCAAACAGAGGGGAGGGAGGACAGGAGGGACCAGAGGGAGAAGTGGGGTGGGAGCAGTGTCCGGCCGCAGGCCAGGCAGTCCATGCCTCTGCATTGCGTCTCTGCAGATCTGTGCATGGTGCCTGAGGTCAGAGGTCAGGAAGCAGGCTGTGCAGGCATTACAGGCAGAGGCTCTTTCAATGGGACTTGGACAGACAGGGCCGCGTCCCCTCTAACCCTGCACACCCTGTCACCGCGGGGCAGCACCTGCCTCGTCAGTCCCACCCAACTTCCCAAAGGCCGACAGGGACGGGGACGGCGCCCGGTGCTTCTCTGACAGGCGTGGCCAGCGGCTTTCACGGGGGTCGTTCACGTCCCTGTGACTCGCCTGCCTCTCCCCACGCCCGCCCACCGGAGCCTCAGAGCTGGGCTCACCGGGAACGGGTCTGCGTGGATCAGGGAGGCCCCCGCGAGGAGAGGACGGGCGGCAGGAAGATGGCCACAAGGACACGGGCCAGACCCCAGCCTCGTGGCTGTGGCCGCACTCAGGAGCGCCGGGGCGGGGGGCTGGGCTCCCCGGAGCCTTCGGAGGAGTGCGGCCTGCCATCCCTGGTTTGGGTTTCCAGCTCCAGGACTGTTTTAAAACACTTGTCATAGCAGCCACAACACACCCATCAGAAAGCTGCTCATGGCCTGGTGCGAGAACGTAGCGCACGGATGGCATCAGCCTGAGGAGTGAGTGGGACTGGGACACTCACATGGAGCAGCCATGCCACCTGCGCTGCAGCAGGACCAGCCTGGCCTCACCTTCTGGGTGCTCCTGGCCTCTCCCTGCCTCCCCACAGTCACCCCAACCTCTGACCTCCGCTTCTCCTCCCTTTGCTCAGAAAGCTTCCTTACACTCGTAACTGAGCCAGACAAGACACTGCTTTGTTTTGATTGCGTTTGAATGTCATCAAAACAGACTTCTGCCCTGGGAGCTGCCAGGCTCACCGGCACTGCATGCGGTGCGGGCCTCACCGCTCACAGGTGTGTGATGCTGCGTCACACAGGGGCCGCCATGCCCTGTGCCCTCCTGCCCCACAGCGCCGGCTCTGCGCGGCCATCGCTGGCGCTGCACGCAGCCGCCCCTCCCGGGGAGAGGAGGGTCACTCACCGGGCACAGGGATGTTCGCCAACCTGTCTTCCACCGCGGCTGTGCCTACAGGCCCTCCCGCTAAACACCGTTCTCCGGGGAAGTGAGACCTATGGAACTGACTTCTCACAAAGTCTAACACAACCAACCGATATCCGACGTTTCTAGACTAAATGTAAGATCATGCTACATGCAGCCCCGCTGACATAACATTGACACTGGCTCCAACACAGAAGAGAGATTCCCGAGAGAAGTAACGGTCCGAGTGCCAGCGCTTCCCAACCTGCGTCTCAGCAGCACGGGCGCGGGGACCACACCGGCCCCGGGGGACGAGGCTTAGGGAGCAAGACAGGGAGTCGGCCACGCCAGCAGGGGACAGGTGTGCGAGGAAGCCAGGGCACCGGCCTGTGCATGAGTGGGGACCGCGCGTTACAGGCACTGGCATGGAAGCACATGCCTTAACATACTCTGACATGTCTGCATCATTAAAACAGCTGATCACCAGAGCGCAGTGAGATTCCTGAGTGTTTCCTGGCACAGCGCATGCCCCAAACTAGCTAACTATCTTTCTGTGCCTCTCACCTGTTTGCCGCTGACAAATTTAAGACCCAGATCAAACCGAAACCGGTTTGGCTCAGTGGATAGAGTGTTGGCCTGGGGACTGAAAGGTCCTAGGTTCGAGTCCGGTCAAGGGCATGTACGTTGGCTGCCGGCACATCCCCAGTAGGGGGTGTGCAAGAGGCAGCTGATCGGTGATTCTCTTTCATCAATGTTTCTAACTCTCTATCCCTCTCTCTTCCTCTCTGTAAAAAATCAATAAAATATATTTTTTTTAAAAAAGACCCAGATCAAACCAAATGCCACCTGTGTACCGAGGCCAGCACGGCCCCCAGGGCACCAAGCCGGCCTCCTCGGAGCGCTGGTCCCGCTGCAGGGCAGCGAGGGGAGGGAACAGACACAGCGTGTGCACACACCGCGTGCGCCCGAGAGCCACTCGCCGGGCCCAACAGGCACTCCACGTTATTTTAACTCCAGGCCCTCATGCTGTCTGCAGCTCACACTCTACAAATCCTCATGCAAATGCAAATTAATTCCTGGATTCTATTCTGCAAACAGGTAACTGGTTCTCGCAAGAAGCACAGGGCGTGTCTGACAGCAACCTGCCCCGCGGGCAGGACTGGAGCTGCGTGCACCTGGGGCACGCAGGGTGTGCTCGGCCACGGCCGAGACATGGCTCCTCTCACAGGGCAGCCCAGCCCTCCCACCTCCTCCCGCCTGGGAGCGTCTACAGAATCAGGGACAGGCTTCCCAATGGCAGAAAGCCACAGGCATGAGAAAGGTACACATCAGGCAAACATGGAGATTATAAAGATTTTGTACCAAAAACAAAGACTTTTCCCGGATTCTGGTCAGTGAGTGCCTCAGAGCACCCACCAGGATGCGGCTGCGCCCTGCACCCAGCGGCCCCTCTCCGTGGCCTCATCTGATGACCCCAGTCATCGCCTGCCTCACCTGGCAGTCAGCTCCCGCCCCTCCTACCTGCCCTGCCCTCCCCGGGATCCCCCTCCAGACCTGACGCAGCCTCTGTCTGCGGACCGCTCCCGTCTCAGAGGCCTGCGAGCACCGTGTGCCCATCGGACGTGGGCTCTCCGGTCACACCCACCCATGGCTGCAAGGCCAGCTGCTCACACCTCTGGAGCCTGGACCACCCCTTGCCCCTCGCCCCCGAGCCTGTAATGCCCCACGGGCCCCACTTCGGCAGGCCCTCCGGCTCAGCCGGATGCTCCAGCTATAAACGCGGGCGTCACACTCTATACAGAGCTATCAGCTCATCCCGTTGGTTCTACCTTCAAAACCACCCCAGAACCCCGCCCCCTCCCTGCTCTACCAGTCCAGGCCAACATGGTGCCTCCCTGCCCCTGCCCCATCCACTTGTCACCCTTGCTGGATGCACAGGGCAGGGAATGTAATGTCACCCCAGCTCCCGGCGGCCCCCTGACCCTCGGCACCTCGACCTCGTTCAGTTCTGGGCGTGCGCTGGCCTCACAGCTCCCGAGTCCACTCCAAGCCGGTTCCAGCTCAGCTGGACCCCCTCTGCCCCCTCTGCTCGCCGCTGTGTCTGAGGGCAGTGCATGCTCCGATTCCCTGATGCAGCTCACCGCTCCCCACGGCCCCCCTCGGACCACCCACCGCGTGTTCCCCAAGGGACTGTCCGGTCCCAGGACAACGCCTGCGCACAGCTGGTACTTCGTTCACCAAGCGGACCCATGCTGAGGGCGCCACATACGGGCTGTTTTCAAAGTCTGCCCTCATCTGCAACACCCGCCCTGGAACCTGCAGACAGAAGGTCTGACTAACTCGCGCACGGCACTGAACTGGCCAAACACCCGAGGTCGGAGAAGACAGCCCGCACCTCTGCAGGACAGACGGCAGTGCTTCCCACACACAGGGGGCAAGCCATCGGCGATCTGGACGACTCGTCTTCGCAGGCAACCCACGTGGCAGTCAGCCCCGGCGACGAACACGTGAATCACAGAAATGAAAGTGAGTGAAACAAACGGAGCTTAACTCTGAAATGAAGCCAGATGGAGACTGCTATCTGCGCCCGGCTTTTCTCTGTTCCTGTTGGAACGGTCACTTAAACGCTATTCTGGGCAGACGCGGGGGAACGCGAACACTGCACCTGCAGGGTGATCATCGGGACCTGGCTCCTGCAGTGGCTGCACGTGGCCTCGCGGTATTTGCAAGTCTTCTCCACGTGGTCGCGCAGGTCTTTCCTCAGGACCCTGTCCTTGCAGTCAGCACGCTCGCACGGGAGTTCTTCAAACTGGCAGTCATTCCTCAGATGCACCTGGAGACCAACAGCCCCAGTGCTCAGTCAGCAGCAAAGGCCCGGACAGCCCAGTTCAGCCCCCAGTCAGCGCCCTCAGACAGTGCCATCTGCCGCCCGGCTCTCCGGAGGGCAGAGCCACAGGCTCAGAGGCGCGAGGCCCACGCCCACTCATGGCTCCTCGAACGATACCGCTTTGAAGAATTAACTCCTCTTCCTGGATAAATACACGGTTATCTGCTAAGGACTTTGTTTTATTCCAATTCAAATATCCTTTAGGGATAAAATGATACTAATAAACACAAGAAGTTATGTGGAATTTCACAGTAAAAAAAAAAGAGGTTTTTAACGGATCTTCCAAAATTAAAATTCGATACAGATTTCTTTCTGTTCCAAATGCGGTGGCGAGTTTATACCCAGTGAGGATCCTGCTAATGGTGTCAGCAAAGGGACACGCCATGCCCACGTGGCGTGCCTGCCCTCACGTGAGGCTGGCCTCAGAAGGCGATGTCCCCCGGGCCCCAGGGCGCTGGGTACTGACCAGCAGCTGTCCCAGGGCGAGCTGCTCGGCACAGCCGCGGCCGTCGTTCCGGCAGTGGACCTGCAGTGCCAGGATCTCCCGCTTGCAGCAGTTGTCCCTGAACACCTGCGAGGGCGGGAGAGGAGGGTCAGTGGCCCAGCGCCACACGCTGCGGCTTGGGACAGCGCAGACCACTGGGTAACGGCAGGGGAGCTCCCGTACGGGGCCGCGGAGCAGGAAGGACCGCCTTCCCTTCCCAGACTACAAACAGAGGGAGAAGCTGCCCCCACTAAGACACAGTTTATTCATTTTACTTTTTAAACGTATTTTTATGTTTTCAGAGAGGAAGGAATAGAAACAGTAGTAATGAGAGAATCATGGATCGGCTGCCTCCTGCACGCCTCACACTGGGGATCGAGCCCACAACAGGGGCCTGTGCCCTGACCGGGAATTGAACCGTGACCTCCTGGTTCATAGGTCAACACTCAACCACTGGGCCACGCCGGCCGGGCAGACACAGTTAAATAGCACAACCTTGACTACTGTCCTTTGCTAGAGAAGCCAAAAGGAACCGAGTCACACTGAACAGAGGACGCTGGACTCCCTCTGACAGTCTCAGGCGGGCCCAGCAGGACCGAGTTCCCGCTGGGCTCTGGCACTCCAAGAGCCGGACCTGAAGGTGCCACCGAGCTCACCTCCGGTCACGGCTAATTGACAGCGCGTAAGAGTTAAAAATAAACTAATTTGGAGTCAGATATAATTCCTTATAAACAGGACTTTTTTATTTTATTATTTTAAAAATATATATTTTATTGATTTTTTACAGAGAGGAAAGGAGAGAGAGCGAGCTAGAAACGTCGATGAGAGAGAAACATCGACCAGCTGCCTCTTGCACACCCCCCACCGGGGATGTGCCCGCAACCAATGTACATGCCCTTGACTGGAATCGAACCTGGGACCTTTCAGTCCACAGGCCGACGCTCTACCACTGAGCCAAACTGGCTTCGGCTACAAACAGGACTTTTTAAAAAAGGTCATAATTTAAGATTCGAAAGTCAAGCAGGTATTTTTAACTGGTAAGAAGCAAGCTTCCTTTCTGTGTCGAAGTCGCTGGAAGCGTTTGAGGTTCCCGTTCCAGACCGGAGACATAAGAAGGGAGAAGGACAGCTGCAGAGCTAACACACTCAGCTGCGCTCCGGCCGCAGACCCGGGGCTGCATGCCCTTCGCCCGCGCCTGGCCTTGGTCTCCCAGGGCCTTCCCCATGAAGACCCATGGCGTGACTCATTTATGCTTCTTCAACAAAACTAACATTTTCCCTCCAGCTACCAGCGCCACTGAAAAACAGGAACTGCCCTGGCTGGGTACTCAGTGGTGAAAGCATCGGCCCACGGACTAAAGGATCTCGGGTTCGATTCCAGGGCGAGGGCATGTACCTGGGTTGCAGGTTCCATCCCCAGTCCAATCATGGCACGTGCAGGAGGCAAATACTGATGTGTCTCACATCAATATTTCTCTCTCTCCCTCTCCCTCAGTGGAAAAAAAAATCCTCAAGTAACGATTGGAAAAAAAAGGAATAATACTGAATAATGAAACGAGACACGAAGAGACCTCTCAGTCTGTAGTTTCGACTTCTTCCAGCTGCGTTGATGAGAGGCGTGTGAACAAGGTTAGCTATCATGTTATGATAAGGAGTAGAACCAGGTGATTTGTTTTTCTTGGGAATGATCCCTTCCCTGTTACCAACCAAAGTCCTTAGAAACAGGTAAATGCTTGGAAAGAAAAGGCAGGAGAATCAAGATGGTGGTGTAGGTAAACACCAGACTTCCCACTTCCCACAACCACATAAAAATTACAACTAAAATAAAGAACTACCATCATTCAGAACTGCGTGAAAGCTGGCTGAACGAAGTCCTCAACGAGAGAAGTAAAGAAGAAATAACTGAAATGCCAAGGGTTAAAGACATAGAGAGAATCTTAAAAGCAGGAAGAGAAAAGCAGTTAGTTACCTACAAAGGAGAACCATACAACTGTCAGCTGATTTCTCAACAGAAACTTTGCAGGCCAGAAGGGAGTGGCAAGAAATATTCTAAGTGATGAATGGCAAGGACCTACAGCCAATATTACTCTACCCAGCAAAGCTATCACTCAGAATTGAAGGCAGATAAAGAGCTTCACAGCCAAGAAAAAGTTAAGAGTTCATCACTACCAAATCAGTATCAGATGAAATGCTGAAGGGTATTCTTTAAGAAGAGGAGGAGGAGGAGGAGGAGGAGGAGGAGGAGGAAGAAGGAGAAAAGATGAAAAATATGAACAATAAAATGGCAATACATACACATCTATCAACAATTATATCTAAAAATCAAAATAAGCAAACAAGGAAACTAATGAACAAAATAAATTGGTGAATAAAACAGAACCAGAGACATGGAAACATGGGACAGACTGAAGAATCTCAGAGGGAAGGTGGGGGGAGGGGGGGAACTAACCAAAGATCTTACATGCATTACCTGTGGACACAGACAGGGTGGTGAAGGGGGGAGCGGGAACCAGAGAGAGGGGCATTGTGGGGAGGGGACATTTGCAATACTCCCAACAATGAAGATAAAAAAGGAAGAAAAGGTAGATGGACGCATGGCTAATTCCATCTCTAAATGTGCCCTGGGGTCCCCAGCCCCCTGCCCGGCCCGGCCCCTGCGCGGCCCGCAGACCCCGCACCTTGGCCGCGGACAGAAGGCCAGCCTGCCGCTGCAGCCAGGAGCCCCGGAGCCAGCACTTCACTGCAGTGCAATGGCCTGCATTTAAGAAACGGTGAGGCTCATTAATCAAAACACGGGAACCCAGGTTTTATGGACATTTTAAGTACTTCAGTGAGCCATTTCCAACGACAAGTGCGCCCGGGAGTGTGACTGCACAGGAGGGCACAGGCGCCGTGCGGGGTCGCCCAGGGGGAGCCGGGGGAGCTGGCACCTCCGGTCTGACAGAGGCCCCGAGGCCCGAGCCCGCACACAGGCACGCGGGCAGGGAAGGGGCTGAAATCCCAGGGGGCAGGGCGCCAGGGCGCACATGTCTCTGAGTAAGACCCCGGTCCGGGCTCCTCCTTCTCCCGCCTCCTCGCTCCCCCGCTGTGCACAGGCGCCTCCTGGCTGCGGCAGGCCTGCCCGCGCGGCCCCGCTCACTGCACAATCCGCCCAGCGCCCAGCCCAGGACAAATCGATACCTTGTCTTTCAGGATGCTCTCCTGGCAGGCCGTGCACTTCGGGCTGGCAGAGCTGGGGAGAGACAGACACGTCAGCAGAGCCCGCCTCCGGCCGGTCCTGCCCCCGAGGTCAGCCTCGAGCCCCCGGGCGGGCCGGCTGGCGGTGGCAGTGGAACGCAGGGAAGGGGCAGACTGTCCCGGTAACTTCACAGGAAGTTAGCACAGCAGGTCAGTCCCATCTGGAAAGCCCCTTCCAGTAACAGTGACATTTCATTTCAGACACCAAACCAGCCGTGCTGGGCTCCTCTGGGAGTGCCCGGCTCAGGAGCCACATCCCTCCACGTGCTCCACCCCGCGGAGGCCCCCCGGTGAGGGGCACACCCGGCCGCCCGGCCCGGCCCCTCCCGCACAGAGCACGCCCTGAGGGCTCCCTCCCTGGCTGAGGGCGTCTCCTCCAGGCCCGGGGCCACCGAGGTGGCAGGGGAGACGTTACATGTGCTTCGGGAGACAGCCAGTGCGATGGGGCTGGGGCCGGGCCGGTCTCTAGCCCGCACTCAGGTGTGCTCCCCCGGGGCCCTGGGTGGCCGGCCCTTTGGTCCCTGCGGAGCCTGCTCCAGAGAGCGAGGGACGGAGACGCGCCCAGAGCCGCACCTACCCCAGCAGGCTGGCCATGCAGCTGTCGCAGAAGCGGTGCCCACACTCGGTCTGCTTGGGGTTGCACAGCACCAGCTGGCACTTCTCGCACTTGTACTTGTCCTCCACGGCCTTCACGAACTTCTCCCTGTAGCCTCCCTGCTCGGGGACGAGCACCGGGGCGGCCGCGCTGTGGTCCGGGTGCAGCTTAAGCGATGGGTTGGGCTGCAGTGAGCCGGAAGGGTCCATCTTCTTACTCGGCTCCATGGTGCGAGGGGCCTCTGCCGGGGAAACACAGCGAGTCAAGCACTGCCGCGGTGCAGCCGGGAGCAGCAGCCGGCCGGACCGGGAGCCTGCCCGCGCGCCCCGCACCTCTCGCCACCCTCACAGCCTGGCGGCACGGCTGTGTCTCGAAGGTTCTTTAAGCCCCAGAGAACCCCTAGCTGGGCTGTCAGCTCCCACCGGAGGCCCCATTCCGACGCTGGCCAACGGGGCGGTGGGGAGGGGGCGGGGCCGAGGCTGCGGTGGCCGGCAGTCAAGCCCAGCACCCTGTGCGCCTGCCCGCAGGCTCCCGCTGAAGTGCTCGCAGTGCCCCAGCCTGGCCTCCTGCCGGCCCTGGCCCTCCCAGCGGCCCCGCCGCCTGCCACGTGCTGCCCACTCCGGGCGCCACCTGCCCACGGGGAGGAGGGCACGAGGACGCCGGCCACACGGAGACGGCCACACGAGCGGCACAGAGACGGGCAGGGCCGGGGCGGGCGCCTCCAGCTGGGCACGGCTTCCAGCTGGGGACAGAAGTCTGCGCGGACGGCGGGCCGCACAGCTCGGCGCGCTGTCCGGGCCTCCACCCTGAGGCCCTGGGCGGTGTGTACACGGAGCGGCACACGCTGTGAAGGCGGAGATGTACACGGTCCGGGAGACCAGAGGACGCACGTCAAAACCCAAGACTGAACAGAACTGCACGTGCCAACGCTGAGGGTCTGCAGTGCACTGACAGCACCGGCTGTGCGAGGGTAAAGGGCACCGCAGTGCCTCCCCGTGGGCACAGCAGGCGTGGCCGGTCCCCGTGGCCGGGCTGTGAGATACGCTGTTGAGACTGCTGACCACAGCACCGACACATGCTAGGACAAGGCGGTTCCCTCTCTGGATGGCTCAGCCTTCCCCAAATGCCCCTCTGGCCTCGGGTGTGTGTGTGTGTGTGTGTGTGTGTGTGTGTGTGTGCGCTCAGTGGTTAGAGTGTCAGGCCGCGCAGTGACCCTCTGATACCTGGTCAGGTGCACCTGGGAGCTGCTCTCACATCAGTGTGCTCCCTCCCTCGCTCCCTCTCCCTCCTGTTTTCTCTGTGAAAAGCAATGGGGAAAAACTGCCTCAGGTGAAGATTCAAAACAAAACAAAAAAGCGAAAGGCCCCACAAATGCCCCTCCTCGGCAATTAGGCCAGAAAAATAAAAGGCATCCAGGTTGGAAAGGAAGGTGTAAAACTATTTCTACGTTCAGAGGACATGACACAGAACATACTGAGGAATAAACCAAAACTAGCTGAACCAACAGCAAAGCTGCAGGTACAAGATCAGTACATGAAAGTCAACCGCAGGTACACGCTAGCCATGACACCACTGTGGAGTCAGAAAAACAGCCCTTAAAGCAGTGCCCGGGGGAATGACGCCTGGGATAGAGGGGGTGTGTGTGTGCTCACGGACGCGGAGAGCAGTGCCCTGGCCTCGGCTGTTTTGCAGAAATTAATAAGCGGAACCTAAAACCCCCAGAGAAACACCAGGGACCCAGATGGACAAACAGCCCGAGGAGGCGCAGCACTGAGGACGCACACCTGCTTCTGCGCACAGCGGGGACACGGCCAGCGGCCAGCGGCCAGGACTGAGCCCAGAGGTAACCACAGCCGCAGCCACAGTCCCCGCCAGGCCCGGCCTCGCCTGCTCAGAGCCCGGCTGCTCACGGCGGCGCCTGCGGCAGGGCGGGGTCACCACGGGCACCGGCCCCTCCACCAGGCTCACCTGGCTCAGCGCTCGGACAGTTCTGCCTGGGAGGACAGAGGTGGTGTGAGACCTCCCCTGCTGGTCCCCTCGCTTGCCTTTCAAAAAACCTACCGGCTGACCCCCACAGAAGGCCACGTGCACGGCACATGAAGCATCCGTGAGCCCCGAGCACACGCCCGCCCCGGGTGCGCCCGCCTCTCGTGGGCACAGACAGACCCACGCCTGTCCCCGCGTGGAAGGCTCCGCGGCGCGCTCCCTGGCGTACGGTCCCCAGCGCTGCTCTCAGGGACGGTCTGAACGGCGGCACGTCCGGGCCGGCCCCCGGGCCCCGGCAGGCTGAGCTCGGGGCCGCCAGCAGCGTGGGCCGGCCGCGGCCGCTGTCTGTCAGGCCTGCGGCTGAGGCTCCTCTCCACGTTTAAGGGGAGCAACAGACACCAAACCAAACAGGCGCCTGCTGACAGGCCTGACGTGGCCCAGAAGCCCGGACTCCACCTGCCTCTCACGGCAGCGGCCAGCCCGGCCCTGGCCTGGGCGCCTGAGCTCGGGGAGCTGAAGGCGTGCCCGGCCCACCGGCCAGCAGGCTAGCAACGCGCCTGGCCAAAGCCTTCACTGCCTCAGCGAACGGCCGGGTGCCGTTTTCTCGCTGATAATTGCACATGTGCTGGCGGTCGCTGGGTCTTTCCTGCTCTGAAAGGCCGGTTCTGCCTTCCTGTCGTTTGGAATGGGGCTGTTCTGTCTTCCCAACACTGGCCTGCAGGGTCACTCTATATGTGCTCTGACGACGAATCCTCTCCTGGTTAACTATGTCTTCTCCACAGCTGATGGCCTGGCTTCACCGTGTCTTTTAGTGGACGGTTCCTCACTTTAATGTAGTCACACCCATCCCTGTCCTTAATATTCAGTGGGTGATGCCGACGGGAAAGAGGCAGCGGTTCCTATGAAACCAGACAGAGCGTTCTGACGGTTCGGCCGGTGCAGTGCCCGGCCGGACGGCTCTTCTCGGTGGGAAGCGCGCCTGACAGCTGTGGCTGCAGACGTGAAAGCAGCCACACTGCACTGCAGGGCCCGGCGCTCTGGTGACGCTCCGACAAACAGAGACGAGGCTCTCCTCCCGCACTTCACCGCCACAGCTGACGGCAGGCGGGGGTCAGCGGCCGAGGGCGACCACCACCCTCGGTCTCAGTGCGATGCTGACACCTGCACAGGGAATTCTCTCACTCAGCGCCTGTGAAATGGGCTTCCTGGGACTTCTCGGGTTTCTACAATTAATATTAAGAGTTTCTACGTCTGACATTAATAAATTGTTAAACAAAACAAATTAATAAATTGTTAACAAATAGATGCATCTTGAAAAAAAGAAAAGAAAGCAGCTCTAATTCTGCCCCAGGCTCATTTTCAAAAGGATAATCTGCTCACACAAACCAGCCAGGAGCCGCCACGTCACACACCCACTGTCCTAGGGAACCATTCCTTCCGAACAAAAGCTTACTGGAGACAGAAACGCCAGACCAGACCGCCTGTGTGGGCGGGTGCCCCTCGTGGGCCCGCGGCAGCAGGGCAGGCGGGCGGACGGGTGGCTTGGGTTTGCTGAGGACCCCGATCTGCACCCGCACCGACCGTCACCGGAAGCCAGTTCCCACCACGGCGCACGCAGCATGCCCCTCCTAAAGCCACGGGGACGCGGGAGAGGGAGCGCAGGCGAGGCTCACAGTGCGGACACGTATCAAACACCGAGCGCCTGGGAACCTGGTGCAATGCGCCCGCCCGTATCCAGACCCACGGCTTCACATCCCGTATGGATTCTCACGGGAAACCGGGAGGAGTGACCATCTCAGGAGGCAATGAAAGCCAAGCCTGGGGCAGTGACGTTCTAAGTCCATGCAGAGAGGAAGGAGAGGCAGGCCGCCGGCAGCCGGCCTCAGGCGTGGAGCCAGCGCCGTGGGGGCGCGAGGGCCCGGCAGCCACGCTCGGCGCTACCAAAGCCACCGCGCTCGCAGGCCCTCGGACGGAAACGGCTCTGGAAAAGGAAGCTCTCGGTTCCTATAACTCTAAACACACACACGGTAAGGCTAAGTGCTTCTGAAATACTGTGATTTCTAATCTGCCGCCAGGCCCGGCCAGCAGCCCACAGGGGCCCCGTGGAGTCCCACACGTGCGCGGTAAACGGACAGAGTCCATCTTTGGAGCCCTCTTCCTTTTTGGGGGGTTAATCCTCACAGAGGATATTTTTCTCCACTGGTTTTTAGAGAGGGAGTGGGAGCGGGGGAGAGAGAGAAACATGGATGTGGGAGACTCACGCGTTGGTCCCTCCGCTTGTGGACCTGACCGAGCGGGGGTGTTGGGGATCAAAGCCTGCAACCCAGGTTGGTTGCCTTAACCCTGTGGTCGGCAAACTGTGGCTCGGGAGCCACATGTGGCTCTTTGGCCCCTTGAGTGTGGCTCTTCCACAAAATACCACGGCCTGGGCGAGTATTTTGAAGAAGTGACGTTAGAAGAAGTTTTAAAAATGTGGCTCTCCAAAGAAATTTCAGTCATTGTCCTGTTGATATCTGGCTCTGTGGACAGATGAGTCTGCCGACCACTGCCTTAACTAAAATGGAACCTGAGGCCTTCGTCTCTGGCCGATGCTCTAACCACTGAGCCAAATCGACTAGGGCCAGATTTCTTGGTTTAAATATAAATGTTCTGTTTCACTGGCTAATACATGGACATAAAAATAGGTCCAGTCTGCCATGCTCCTGAAGTCAGATGTGACTGTCACAGCTAATGAGATTCTGTGTTTGCCACGGCTGTGCTGATGGAAGGAAGCCATGTAAGCTCGGGCAAACGCGTAGAGGTGGTGGGAAAGCAGCGTTTCGGGCCTTCAGACTGAGGGTTAACTGCGGGCCTGGGCACGCCCGGAGGCTGACACAGGTGCCTCTGGCCAGGAAGCGGCCCTGCAGGAGGTGGAGCCCAGGCCCCAGCCCATGCCCCCGCCCCGCCCCCTTCGGCCTCAGCGCAAGGAGAGGATGCTTGCTATGTGTCCACACCCAGAGAGAAAGGCGAACCACGCGGTGCAAGGGGCGCGCAGGTGGGGAGGAGCCCGAGTCTGTGCACCGGAGCCAAAGGGCGGCCAGGACCGGAGCACCAGGGAGCAGTGGTCCTGGGGCCGTCCGGGGCCCGAGAGGACCAGGCCTGCCCAGCCGCCCGGCACCAGGAGCGATGCTGTGTGTCCTCCGCGCGGAACTGCTCCTCTGGTGCTGCACTGCGTGCTCACAGCCGGGGGCAGGACCCCGGGCTGC